GCAGTTGCGATTCACAGATCGTAATGCTGAACACATCCACGATGTTCCGAGAGTAGCACACCAGCAAGGACCTCGATCACACGCCAACATTTTGTCATATGTTTTGAATGAAGGAAATGCCTCGAAAACCATGTAAGGAACAGATGTTCCGAGTTTTCAAAGCTGTGTCTTGTGCCTGAAATATAATTCGAAAATGGTATCACAATTTGTTTTTATAAATAAAAGGAGAGCGAGTCATGTTTGAACATATTTCATTTGTATCAAGACTTGTCAGCTTGATGTGGGAAGAAAGCCCGAAGGTATTAGACGTTTTACAAAAGGTGAAACCCACGGGCACGTGTTGAACCCACGATCACAGGTGCGTGTCTGGCGCGTCCAAGGGCGTGCTGCTTGGCGTTAGTAGAACACAACAGACTCACATGCGTGCCTATTCTTGTAGTCCGCACTTGTTTCCGACCCACACTTGTCTCATCTCCCCAAGGCAAGGGAGTTAACTGACAATAAAAGTCCAGTTTCCACCGTTGTCGAACAAGGCTGGTATTACAAAGTTACATTTTGGCTGGCCTAGCGAGTCTATGCATAGTCCAATCAAAATCACGCAACGAAATCGAAATCTGGTTCGTAATCTGTCGTGCAGATTTCGGTCGATTGCAGGATTTGCAAAACATGTGCACCGCCAACTCGCTGTCAACAGATATTTTCAAAATCTTTTCATGTTTTTAATCAAGATGCTCACGTGATCTGATGCACCTCGCGATGTAAGACCCGTTTTATCACAATATAGATCTTGATTATCTATCAGATCGTCCTGACTGGGCGCCACCATTTTGTGTGAAGCAAACGCAAATGATACGAGAGGTGGAATCTGATTGGTCCATAGGAGAGGCTTAGAAGGGACATAGCTGGTAATAGCCACTTGTGGCGCTACGATCGAGCCCAGTAATTCCAGCCAAGTTCGGCAAGGGTGGAAACTCGACTTTTAAAGTCGGTGAACTCTCTTGCCTCGAGAAGATGCACTTGTCTGTGCTTGAAGGGAAGACCATTGGGTGTTGTTGGGTACGGGTTTCAGACATTCTTATTTATGCCACAGGGTCTTGAAACGCAAGAAATAGCAGCTAGAAGATATATGGCCACACCCCCTGTCAGAAATGAAGTTCAAGATCAGTTTTATTTCTCTGAAAAACCACCAACGGTTGTACAAGAGTGTGTATATATATATATATATATATATATATATATATATATATATATATACAACATATAATATTCAATGAAGATCAAGATGGTAAAGAAAACCCTAAAAAATCTTTTTGGTGGAAAGTGTGATCATGTCCATTAAAACTGATAGTGGTAAGAGCTCCCATAACCATTTTTTTATCTTGACGTCTGATCGGTCGCTAATATGTTAAAGAAAACCAAAGGAGGATACTTTGAGATCGAATGGATCCAATGGTTAGTGTCAGTTTACCGCAATGCGAGGTCTGGAGATATAGAGAAAGCAATTCCGTGGATTAGGTAGGGTTTTTCCTAAGAAGCGTCAACATCTTTGGTACACAACGTCCATATCCAGACCGGGTTTCTAATAAATATTGCACAGTATTGTACAGTGTATTCTGCAAAGTGAGTTGGGTTTAATGCTGCTTTGAACAGCATTTCAGAATTAATTATATCAATAAAACATTAGTGATATAACTAAATAGATACTGATATCATAAAAGGGTTTACAGAATCGGATATGCTGGTTTGAATGCTTGTTCACTTCTATTTCTTCAGGCCATAATTTTGGTAGTGCCATGTAATGATGTGTGAGACCGCCTCCATTATGTGGCGGATAGAGCATCTGCCAGAAGAGCGGAAGGTCAGTGGCCAATGCCCTGGCTACTGGCATTCACATCTTATTTCCGATCACAGATGTCTTCAACAAACTTGGTACTACAAAAGGTGACCATCTCACCCAAGTTTCAGGCATCTAGCCCTTTAAATTATTGAGAAGATCATTTTTTAGTTATTCTTGTCATAATCAAAAATGGCTACCTGGCAGCCATATTGAAATTTGATGCCTTGAATGAACTTGAACCCCTTATAGTATGGTGGCCGAGAGGGGACATCGCTTTCTCGCTCTATCGCTTTCTCGCTTTCTCGCGGTTAAGCAGTATCCCCTCTTGACCACTATAGGGGCCGCATGTGATATCTGCTGCAATTGGGAGGTAATGTTGAACTTTTCTCACTATTTACTTAAAACATAATTTAACTGTAGAGACGTAAGTGATTTTTAAACAATCCACAGATTTTTGCGTAAAATGTAATTGATTTATTTATGGCCCTATTCAGTTGTATGTGACCATCACGCCGAAAGCGCGTGGCAGATCATGGCAATACGCTCTAAATAAATCAGGTTAAAATCTAAATATATACTTTTCAAAAGAAGTTAAGAAGACTATGGTTAATAAGTCATGGCTGATTGTTTGGCAAAAATACAATCTTATAATTGTTGGTGTTCTATAACTTGTTTTCGGTAGTATATGATGTTACAGTGTGTCATAAGGTTGTCCGTAAATGTTCTTTACTTGCATATAGTAATTTGATAAACACCGCTGTGAGTGAGTGAGTGAGAATGGTTTCACGTCGCTTTTAACAATACTCCAGTAATATCACGGGGAACACCAGAAATGGGCTTCACACATTGTACCCATGTAGGGAATCGAACTGGGTCTTCGGCTTGACGATCGAACGCTTTAACCACTAGGCTACCCCTATGCTCCTATCGCTGTGGCGTTACCACAGTTGATATGTGTAGTTGTGTAAACTACACATATGGAGAGACATAATTATTAGTGTGGCCACATAGTTAAGGTTGATAACAATATGAAATGCATTACTGTGATTATCTATAGCATATATTAAATCAGCTATCATTGTAATATGTTATGTATATCTTAAGTATAGTTTTGTCAAAATTATGTATGTATGTGTGTGTGTGTGTGTGTGTGTGTGTGTGTGTGTGTGTGTGTGTGTGTGTCCGACTCATTGTCTGTGTAAAAAGGTAGTAGATAACTACATAAATCACATCAAAACGCACATTTGTTAACCATACAGTTTAAATGGATAGAGAATTGCTACATAAATATGTAGATTCCTGCCTGAGCCTATACTATAATTGGATTTCTAGTCTCTCCTGGCGGGAAAGTTAAACTTTATTTTACAAGCACTTTAGCATTAAATTAAATTCCCGAAGACAGTTTGATCGAAAGTCATTATAAAAAACGAGTTGTTTAAAAAAATAATTTTCAACGCATTTTATTTCTATTGTCCAAGGAATGGGGTTACGGGTTAATGACGCTCTCGAAAGTCGTATATGTGACTTAAGGTAGAGACATATATCTAATTCATCTGTATTTTGTAAGGGAAACATAACTGTGTACATGTACAACTTTTGTTTGCATAATGTACATGCAACTTAATGAACATAATTGAGCACATATTCGGCTTCAATTCCAAATCTAATGACCGAAAAAAATAATTCTTTGGACGTTGCAAACAATACAAACTGGCTAATAAAACTGACAATTATTTGTCAATATATGATCTCCTTTTTATCAGTTTTAAGATTGATGGAGAAATGTGTATTTTGTAACATATTTATCTACAACAGGATGTTTAAAAAATCTAATCTGAGAGGCAAAATAGCGGTGAGAATTACAGGAATGGATCACCACATATCAGCAAAAACCGTTTTAATGTACGGCATTATGGGAAATATCGCTCTATCGCTTCCTCTAATGACTAACCAGTCATATGGAGGAATCGGGTGTTCTTTAACTTCTTTAGAATAGTATGTACTGTAAGTCTTGAAATTAACGTTAGAGTTAATTATAAATGCAAAATAATTAGCGTAGACATAATAACCGTATTCGACGTAATATGCGCCAAGGGCGCTCTCAAAATTAGAATATTATTTTGGTGAAAAAAAAGAAAGTTGAGTTGAAAGATAAATTTCGTGGTTTATGCTGGCAACCTCAAATGTTTATGTACGACAGATATATTTTTCCCGAATTTAATTGCCCATAATTAGGTGTGCATATAACGCACGAGTGCGTATTATACGCAAATAAATAAGTCTTGTGTACATTAATCAATCGGAAGGGGTGCTAATTGGGATTGTTCACTAGCCAATATATTAGCAAATATCGCCGTGGGCGTTGATTAGAGCGGGGCGCTTATTACGTCGAATATGGTAATTATACTTTGCATTTATGTCTCAGAAATGACTGTTGATAAGACGGCCTCACTAAACACTTTGAATAGCGGAAATACCAACTTGAATATAAACCCAATCAACTATCTATTTCCACATTACGGTTACTGAGAACAATATGTGATCCAAAAACTAGAAATTACATAATGGACATCCGGTAGTTTTACCATTGCTTGGGTGAGGACTTCAAACTTTGATGACATCTACTCCGCAAACAGAATAAACATTGATATAAGCGTTGTTTTTAGGAAAACACTATTGCTTTTTAGGAAGTACGTACTACTCAGCGCTATTGAGCGGTGTTATTTGCTATTTGTTTTGATAACTTGGCCTGGGGGCGGGGGATCCAATAGCTAAATAGGGCCATAAAACAATCAAATTCTTTTTTTTTACCCAGAAATACGTGGATTGTTATAAAAGCACATATGTCTGTACTGTTAAATTAGATATAAGTAGATAGTGACAAAATTTCAACATTCCGTCCATATGTATAATTTGAAATGCGACTGGAAAAATCTCAGCTCTCTTTTGTGATTAAAACCCACAAGAGGGAATATTGCTATACCGCGAGAAAGCGAGAAAGCGATGTCCCCTCTCGGCCACCATATTATGTAATAAACTTCCACACACAATTTCAGAATGCATCAAGCTATTTCACCAAATGTGAAAATATTTTGGACGATGTGGATGACAGGCTCACATGGACTTTCAGGCCAGGTGAGTTAAAAACAAACAACAACAATACAAGTCCGTGTAAGCTTTAATGGTGAAACATTAACAAACTAAAGATAACATAATCATATGCACATGCATATATATTGTAACATGTCTCATGCCGCCAAGTCTAGAGCAATATTCCTGTTTATACTAAAAAGATAACGTGAAGTGATAACGGTTTGATTGGCATTCTAGAAGTTAGTAATCAGGAAAACATACAACTTTGTGGATAATAACTTCTGGATTACTGCATATAGCGAGGTTTCGATGTAGAACCTTACACCATTATCAAGCTGGAGTGACAACCAAGTGATGAGAGGTACATATGCATGACATGTTGTGATACATCAAACATCACTATATGCAATAAACCAGAAGTTGTTATCCACAAAGTTGTACGATACTTCTACCAACACAATTTTCATAACCTCCAGCAGCACCACTATATACACCTTAATGACATGGCTGCATGCATGTCTATGAAACTTTCATTTCAATCCTGCTCAAACTAAACATTCAAGAAACAAAGGAATGTTTTAAACCTTAACAATGAACTTTCTAATATTAGCCATGGAAGAAAAGTGTTTCGTGAAAGGCTGAAATTGCATCAAGCAACAAAAGAGATTTGCTTTTATCAATGTTATTTACAAGGTTTATCCTTTAAGCTAAGATCCAATCCCCGGATAATGTCAAGTGGGCCATGCAGGACAGAATAGGTCCTGTACCCACTGAGTGAGTGAGTTGGGTTTGGTTTAATGCCACTTTGCCACAACAGTATTCCAGCTCTGCACAGCGAATTGCAGCACCTCGGACTGGCTGGGACAAGCAGGACAGAATAGCTCCTCATACCCATATGTATTGTATAAGGCAGTTATCATATCTAACATAAGTAACAGTCATTATATTGTTACTTCTACAGTTGAATCCTGATGTCTGGAACCTTTTAAATAGCTGGTTGTGTGAACTCAGTCTGGTCCCAGTAAACTCTTACTATATTTATCACTTTTTTAACCTGAATGTGTCAAAGTGGATGTCACATTCCCGGTTTTGTGTTGAATTAATTTATAGTCCCAAGGGTTAAAAATAAATTAACACTTACCCTCATTACATCAGTCATATGACGTCAAGATAATCCTGTGATATTATTGAAATGTTACTTAAATAACATGCACAATTTCGTATGTTTGCTTTCTTTGGTCTGATAGGGTAGATGTTAATAATATCGAGTCGGATGTGTGGAACTATTTCTCTGGTCCCTGGAGTAACATAAACAGTACACTACGTGTACCTGAGGTTCATTCAACAATGACTAACATATCTAATCACTAATGAAAACATTTGTATCCATGGCAACTACCTGAATGATCATACACAATCTGTAAAAATGATTGATTTCACAGAAATGTCAAATAATCTGAACCAATTCTTCAAAAATCAAATGACATTTCAAAAACAAAACACATCAGTTAGGTTTACAAGTTTTACATTCAGAATGGAGGTAGTGTGGCTGCTTTGCATAACTGTTGTTTTGATAAAGGTGTTAGGATCTACACCGAAACGTCACTAATTGTAATAAAGAAGTTGTTCATCCATAGAACTTGTCTTTCTTCATACACCAACTACTAAATGCCACTGAAAGAAGTTGTTGTTTTACTGTTCCAATATTCTAAAAACGAAAAGAAGCATACTTTCATATCTGTCAACATATGTCAAATTTGAAAAGTAAGAAATACATTTTAGGATTAGGCAACACTTCTTTACCATTTTTATTGTTTACAGATTTTTACTCACAGGCTAGCTCAAGTGAGTCCTATTAGTGTGCAAACATAGCAAACTGAATCCGTTTATAGCGGAGGATGTTACTTATTTTCTTAACTTCTGTCAGAGAAGGTTTTGTTCTCTGTACAGAGCTTGTACAGTCGCCAGAGACTATATACAATGCATTGTAGTTCTTATATAAAACCTAACAGTTAATTCTTAATTCATTAAACACACAGCAGTTTGGCAAGTGCTCGTGTCATACCACAAGAAAACTCCAGTTATTGTGGTGGTGACTTTAAGGTGTTGTCATTTTGTTTTTGAAAACCTGTACTTGTTTCTGATGGTAGCAGTCCTATAAACAAACCCTAATATCTAAAAAAATGAAAGAATGACTTTTATTAAAAGTTCCAAATCACAATCATTATAATTCAAACTAAAAACTTGCATCAACTGTCTTTTCATATTCTTAAACATTTTTCCTAATCTGAAAATTTCCCTATTATTGTCTACTGACATAAATGAGAATAAAGGATGGGATTACTTTTCAACAAAGCACCACATTTATGGATTGAATAAAAACCCACAAAAAATATAATCCATAACTTTGTTAAGAGATGCCCTCTGTGAGTATTTAAACACAAGCATCTATGTATTTGGCTATGAAAATACATAGAAGCAATCACAACCCTGACAACAGTTCCATGAAAGACTGTGGAAGGCAAAGTGTGAAAGACAATGCCCCACCGATGCTTGGTACCACAAGCAAGCCATTATGGACTAATGTAGAAATTAATACCAGTAATCTAGCTTAAAGGCCCCGGTTCATGCCTATACACAAAAGAGGTGTCAGCAGTTGTTATAGAAAAGCGAGATGGGAGATCAATCACCTGTGTGGTGTCAGGATGCTGACTTGTCAATCAACTGAGACTAAAAGAGCGAGTGAGTTGGCTTAACACTAATTTCAACAGTATGCAGTATTCCAGTCATATCCCGGTGTTAAGACCTAAAGGAGCGTATTATCTATTCCTCTGATAATTGCTGTCAAATGTGACAAATAAAGGCAATGTAAGAATCAAATTTTATGAAGATTTTTCAAGGGCTAACCAACTATTGCTGAATCTCATTAAAACTATTTAAGTTCAAATTAACACCTCTTGACAAAGATAGGTATTAAATCACTATGGGTATTGCTACACTGAACTACATCATAAGCTCAAAGCTCTAATTATGTAAATGAAAGTTATGAAACATTATTTGGTTTATATCATGCTAGAACTACAGTTTTTCATGTTTAATAAAAATACCATGAAATTCAATTAGCAGGAACATGATACAATTACAACACTATTATCCTGCATTGTTAGTTACTGGACAATTATTGTCACTTTTTCCTCACTATCACATTCCTCTTTCTTAACCTACAAGACAACTGACAAACCATATCATAATAGAAGGCATGTTGACTTTTTTTTTATGGTTGTAATCTTAACATACAACATATCAAAGAAATGATCCCAAGAACCTTCAACAATCAAAGAAGAACAAATTTGTACAGTACTGCAAAAATTAAATTAAATATTGGTTGAATTTCATAATGTCCATACACCTAATTCAAAGTCTGCATTCTTCATTCTAATCAAATACTTTCCGAGCAATAATCTGTGTCAAAGGCTAAATTCAATCACATGAGTTTATGGAAAGTGTTAATTACCGCAACACAAGATTTGAATTTTCAAATTCTGTATTCAACAACATATAGCAGCTACTTCTTGCCCCTTCGTCAACTGAAGAATACACATCAAGAAATGCCCTCTAGATATAAGAGGGAGACAGACCAGAATAGAGAATTTGAAATCCATATATACTACTCAAACGAAGTTGAAGAACTTCCAGTTCCATCATTATTTTATGGAGAATCAGGTGGTCCTTCTTTTGAGAAGTACAGTGTATAGCCTGTGTTTCTATGTCCACCAACTTCTAAATGACTATCAAGGACCTGAGATCATAACATCTCATACAAAATACATGGAAAAATGGGAAGGTGGTGCATAAATGTACAAGTAAACAAAGATTTTTTATTCAACAGCATGGAATGGCCAAGTAAACGTGAATGGTAATAGTATCAATGGTCTTAAGTTTTCAAACTATTCATAAACACAACTTTTGATTTCAGTCTGAAACTAAATAATTCTCATTTGTGTGAAAGCACTTCCAATGTTTTATTGCTATTTTAACAATTGGAAGTAAATATCATATTTCCTTAAGCAGATGATCACCATTTGACTTTGTGAAATGAAATCATTCTTATTTGTCTTCTCTTTACATGTTGACTGTACAAATATTTTTAACACATTTACCATGTCTACTGTCCCGACTGGTTGAAACTAGACTGGTGAAACTATTAATGTTGCTTTCATGTTGTGGCAAGATGACAGCATCCATTCAAGTTACATAATATCAATTGGCTTTACCAACACAGACAAAACTCATCTCCATCCATTATTGGTCCTTTCATTCCTTCCAACTGTATTTCAAGAGCTGAATGTTATAAAAGTGCAACAAAATCAGTTTTACTGAGAATTTTGCATCAAAGTAGATCAGAATCAGATCATGGAGAAAAATTCTCTGCAAATACTTTTTTAGTTCCTTCATCTTTTTAACAGATGAACAAAATGACAAAACCACAATACAGTGATTTACTTGACGCAAAATCTTTCATCCTATACGCACATATATTGAAAAACAGATAAAGAAAATTTGCATGCATGTGTAAAAATGAATACTGCTATTCATAACTTGGTACCACTTAAAATTAATTTCCATATGTAATCATTTAAAAAAATGCAATTAGAGACTTTGAGTCACCTGGACCCCTAAAACAAATAACCCAGGTTTACCCCTGAATATAATAAACAAACATTACACATTTCGACTATATGACACAACTACATTTCTTTATCATCATATGCTGTTTGCACAAAACTTTCTTTCCATGTAAAAAATAACCAGAAATCATGTGTAAGGAGCTCACTCAACACTGCTTGTTCTCATATTATGGAATTATCAGAATGTTCTCAACAGGCAAACATCAGATCCCAGATCAACAGCATAAAGAGAAAAGGTTTAATCCTCATTTTGACATTATTGCATTTATTGCAATGCCAAGTCATCTGAATCTAAGCAAATAACAACTTTAAAAAATCCCAATCTTGGACAACCTTAATGTTGTTTTACTGGGGTTCTAAATCATACATATATCCATGTATACATGATGACAGTAGTGACACAAAAGTAGTGATTCATAGTGACTTTTCCCCTGAAGATACAATACATGATACACCTATCCATGTGTAAATTCATGTTTTAATTTTGTATTAATTCATGCTTCAATTCTTCAAACATGCTGCAAATAATAAATACCAGTCTAGCATTACCTTACCTTTCAAGAATCATAACTCTATATTTGACTGCATAATACCTTAACACAAACTGTTTGATAACTTGGCGTTAGCAGAGCCACATGGAAAAATGGCACAAATATATCATCAGGATTCATAGCGTATCTTGACTGAGGAGGTGCGATATGTATCGATACTTTAGGCAGACATGTTGTGATACCTCCCGATAACAGGGTACCATCTTCATCATTATCATCATAATAATAATAATCATCATCATCATATACAAGATCTTTTACTCTGATACGTTACCTCTGTGTGAAGATCAAGGACACCTCCATAGCAGGTCGTATCAGGTGAACTTTCTGATCTGCCAATCAGCATCAAGGCTTCTATATTCTCGGTATGAGTGAGCAAAGTATTCAGACAACTACAGGTGATTTATGTATCTTGAAAACAAAAAAAACTGGTGAGTTCTGAATGCAAACATCTGAAGCTGTGTTATTTCATTGATGAAGATATTTTATACATCTTGTCATTTCTGAGCACCAGAGAGAGTGCACGACATGTATTAAGGGTATATTTGTGTTCTGTGACAATTTTCTTTGCTAAGATCAAAATTTCTGAATTGAGATGGTAAAGAAATAAATCTGAATTGTTTTAGAATTCTGACATCTGGTTGGCTCATGAACCCATGCATCACTCAGTGTACACCTTCCATGGAGGCATCCTCAGATATTTACGTAGATAGGTGTCGTATCAGTAAAAGATGTGATAATTGGATTTATCAAGCAATGGCAAAATACGCAAGCACATATTAAAACAGGTCCCACATAAAAAAAAGCATGAACAAGAAGCGACTAGAAAACAACCAGGATATATTCAACAAGAACTGAAGCACCATCAAACACTCAAGATACAGGTGGACGAAATTACTCTGAAATATCTCACACAAAAAACATCCAACACTTAATCTAATTCTAAATAATATTGAATATTATGTCAGGGTAAATTGTCTTGGAATAACTGGCTTGATTAAAATATAATCTACACACCAATATACCCATTAAACAAATACTGAATATCTATCAAAATATGTGTAATATTATGTCGCAAGGATAACATAACCTTGACCTTGAGTAAAGTGTGATGTCTGAGGAGGGTGAAGGACATTAACTGATAGTTTAATTCATCATGATAATTGATATATATTTCATCATCGTTAAAACATGGATGTTGACATACTCTGCCTGAATAACAAAGTTGGGTAGTAAGAGAAGTAGAATCTTGCTAATTCTGCTAAATTGAAACCCAAGACCTTGCTTTGAATTTTGAATATGGCACATTTTTAGGAAAATGAACAATTAGCCAATCATGTAGGCATTTTCTAAATAACGGAATTCTCAACTTACAAGGACTATTTTCTCCACAATTAACCACCATTAAACTCTGCCTTCTTTTATTGTTTTACTTCCAAAATAACTTAAAATGGGAACAGAATTGGTTTTTTGTAAGCAACACAAGGAATCAAGCAATTTCCAGTGCCCAAAATATAAATTAAAAATAAATCTGAAAGACCTAAAGACAGCTAGAATGCATCTATATGGAAAACACTAACATTATTTAAACAAATGGAATGGCAGTACACAACATACAAGTACATATAATTTATACCACTGCCATTATTGTACAGATGAAGTGTTACAAACCATACAATAACATGAGTATTTGTACTAGCTACAGTTGCCCTGTGATACTGATTAACTGAGATATAAGTCACGGTTTGTCAAAGGGTACATATAAATAAATGTTATTAGAGACCACCTTTATTGCCATGTTATATATTCTCGGAGTGATAGCACTAGTGCTAGGCAAGTCTTAAGATCACTTTTTGGCTGTGAATAAAGGTAAACACATGTCATAACAATTCAAAATCCCAATCAGAAACATTGACATCACTGATATTCATTACCTTGCTAGGTTCACTGGATGACGACTGGGCTTGATAACATGATCAACAACTGATAAGTACTGACAAGCAATTAGTTATTGCTAGCAAGTACAATGTGTGTCTTACGGAACCTATAACTAAGTTTTTTAACTCAAGGTCATCACAAACTTGTGACACCATTGGGGATGCCGGGTTAGAATTGGTCCCAAGCAACCTATGCTGGTCAAGAGAGGTGATAAAATGGATCGGGAGGTCAGGCTCGGTGACATGGTTGATTGTGTGGCAACATATTGCAACTGCGTGGATAGTTGCTCACAATAACGATTATTTACAGGCCACTGTCTCGTGACTGGAATATTGCTGAGTGCAGCATTAAAAAAAACAAAAAACAAATAATAATTTTGTGAATTATAAGCATATGACACGTTTTTCAGCCCATAATGACATTTGTTCAACAACAGACAGTCCTTGGTCATAACAAAGTCTTCAGATTGTTCTCCATATGTATGATATGTTTGGATGATAAGCCAGTGTAGCAAAAGTAGTTTTGATGATCTTATTTCAGAACCAAATTTAACAGAATTTGCAAATTAGGAACTGGTATGTTCAAATTCTCTTTCAGTGACTGAGACCTAAAAAAGGAATATGTCTCCATGATCTCTGCACGGCTTCACCAACTTTGAGTGAGTGAGTGAGTTGTGTTCAACACTGCTTCAAACAGTAGTTCGGTTATATCTTGGTGTGATTCAGGTCACAGACATACAATATTTTAGTGCAAACAATGAGCATGGCTGTGGTGCTGAGAACCCAACATCATAAAAGTAGGGCGATTCAAGGATTCTAACCCACAATCTTAAGATCCTGTCACGCCTAAGGGACACAACTCCGCCCAGTGACTTGGGGTGCATACAGACAATTTGGCTCCCCCTCCATCACCAAGTTTGAAAAGTTGCAAGTAGTTAAGTAATCACTGGTCATACAAATTATTTTGGCTACCATGACCTATGAAAAAGGACATGAAGAATTATATTAGGCAAATTTACTTTCAGCAGATGATTAATGCATTGTGTTAAACTTAACAAAACAGAAACTCCATTTAGTTGGTGCCAGTTGTGAAGTGTAAATATTCTTAACAGTGAACGCACATGTCTCCACATATCATAAAATGTCTGTGTATATTACAGTAATCAGATACAGGTGTTCAACATTACAGTTATCAGATACAGGTGTTGTTCGTGAATAATACAAAGCTCCACAACACTGGCTGAAGCAGTTCAGACACAGCAGTTTAGGTAGTAGCGTTGAGAGCTCCGAATCCAAATCCTTTAGGTCCATAGGTCTTCCCATAGCAGGCTGTAGAAAGGGAAACAGAAACAGGGGGTGAGTGTTAAAGGTGTTGAGATGGTGCGAGTGTCAGCGTGTGTGGGCATGTGTGTGCGTGCGTGCGTGCGTGCGTGCGTGCGTCTGAATTATGGAAAATCGATTTGATAGGTCACAAATATTGATAACAATATGACAATATACATGATATTGGGTTGTGGGTTGTGGAAGTATATAGATGGATCACCAATATGGGTGATATGGGTGTATAGATAATGAGGAGATATGGACGGATAAACAATATGGGATGATAAAGTTGATAAACAGTATGGGGTTCATATAGATTGATAAACAACATGAGGGTTATATAGACTGATGAACAATACAGGGTCATACACATGGAAACACAGTTTGGGGTCATATAGATGGATAAATAGTATGGGATCATATTGATTGATGAACAATATGGGGGTAATAAATGTTGAAGAAAATGGAGGTCATATAGACCGATGAAAAATATAGGGCTCATATAGATTGCTGAACAATATTGGCGTCATATAGATTGATGAACAATATGGTGGTCATATAGATTGATGAACAATATGGGGTTCATATAGATTGATGAACAAAATGAGGGTCATATAGATTGATGAACAATATGGTGGTAATAAATGTTGAAGAAAATGGAGGTCATATAGACCGATGAAAAATATAGGGCTCATATAGATTGCTGAACAATATTGGCGTCATATAGATTGATGAACAATATGGTGGTCATATAGATTGATGAACAATATGGGGTTCATATAGATTGATGAACAAAATGAGGGTCATATAGATTGATGAACAATATGGTGGTCATATAGATTGATGAACAATATGAGGTCATATAGATTGATGAACAATATGAGGTCATATATACATCGATGAACAACTTCCTGAGAGTGGAGATTGTGTATGACTGGGATCTGAACTCACATTTACAGACGATCTTGTCTCCGGCCTCACACAGTGTGGTGGACTCCAGGGCCTTGTTACAATCCTCGCAGCGGAAACACATCTTATGCCACGACTGCAACACAACAATGAGTGAGTGAGTGAGTGAGTTGGGCTTAACGCCACTTTTAACAGCATTACAGTTATATCACGGTGTGTCAGCTTAATGTGGGAGGAAAGTCTGAAGTGATGCAGGTCTCAGACGTTTACCACTTCGGTGAAACCCACGAGCACGGGTATGGTGCTGACAAACCTAGAAACATAATCGGGGCGAACCGGGATTCGAACCCACAATCATAGGTTTCTGGCGTGCCCAAGGGACGCAACTCTGCACAGCGAATCGCGGTGCCTTAGCAGACTGGGCCACCCGTGCCCCCAAAACAAAAATGAGATGGTTGCAATGTCACCATTTGCCTTGTTTGTTTGTTGTTTAATGCCGCATTCAGCAATATTCCAGCTATATGACAGTGGTCAGTAAATAATCGATTCTGGTCCAGAAAATCCAAAGATTGATATCATGAGCATCGATACGATGACATGCATCAACCAAGTCAGCAAGCCTGACCACCTGATCCCGTTAGTCGGCAAGTATAGTCGCCTTTTACCATTGTTTACGGCAAGCATGGGTTGCTGAAGACCTATATCTATATCTCTAACTAGATCTTCACTGGGTTTGTCTTTAGTTATCACATGCAGTTACAAACATCAAGAACCCAATCTCCAGGCCATGGCCGACATGTAAGAAAGTTATACAAGCATCCTACCCGTCCTCCCCCAACAATTTTCTCAGCGAAGTAGACGGTCTTCCCGCATCGGGGACAGGCATCAGCTCCACCAAACTTGTTGCCACCACCATTATCTCCCTTGCTGTCCATTACCACTTGCGCCTTGCTGTAGGACGACACATTGCTGTTGGAAGGAAAATACTGGCTAAGTACATAGGACTCTTTCCAAAGGTGAAATGAAGAAAAGACAGAGCTTATTGTATCAATATTTTGTCAGTAACAAAAATCCCAAGTCTCCAAAGAATATGAAATGGTCTGTCAGAATGACCACTTTGTATGAAGTCAGTAGTCAGCTGCACTACTTACTCTCGGCTGATCTCGCCAGCTTTCCCAGTGTCCATGGACAACCCTGCCCCGCCCTGGGCAAACCCGTAGCCCCGGGGTCCAAACAGTCGGCCGTAGCAGGACTTGCAGTAGATGTGGTTGTCGTGGTTGGTGAGGGTGGTGCTGTCCAACTGCTTCTTGCACTCCGCTGAAATGTAACACAGTCATCAGGGATAGTTTTAAGTCAAAGAAGGAATGGTACTGTGTCACCAACCTGACCTGGTGCTAGGGCTGCAACGATACACCTAGGTCACGATACGATACGTATCTCGATACTTACATCACGATTCGATACATATCTCAATACGCTACGATACACATGTAATGGCTAGCAAACACAAAAGTAACAGTCCTACATATTTGTGACTTGTGACTAGATGGTAGGAGGAAATACTAAATGTACCAGTGTCCAGTAACCAATGATTTGCCATTATCATGTATAGAGGCAAAAAACCCAATTAAAAACAATTATAGCGACAGCCCTGTAATACACCATTTGAAAGGTCTAATCCTAGTGTTTATAACTATGAAAGTTATGTCTGTCACATTATTTAAATAATGCATTGACAACTTAATTAAGTTCGTTGTAAATAAAAAAATTGTAAGCTAACACATTCATAACGTCCAGATTAAGGACCAAGGAAGCGACAATTTGACGATTTTGGGCAAATATAAGATTTCAAAAGATCTATTTTTATTTTCATTGTTTACGTAATTGGAAATTAGCTATAACATAAGATTTCATTGGATACAAAATGGTTTCGAATGACGCTTTCTTGCTGAAATCTGCTACAAGGTTCATGATTGGTCAAATTTGAGCACGTGACCTGAGGCAGGCAATCAAATTACAAATCCTCGTCAATTTCAGATTTTACGAAATATTTTGGTTGAATCGTGTTATTCTGAAAGTTTTAAGCAGATTATCGCGATCTATATTAAAAATATGGAGCTTCGTGGATGTATCATGCTAGGTTACAAGCTGTGACAAAGATTTTTCATGCATATATTTTGGCATTGAACATCGTGTCCGGGAATTCGAGGCGACGAAAGCCGAGATGTCATTTTGACTAACATTACACGCGATCCAACGAAAAGATGGAAATCATAACTTAGCTGTAAGTGCGACCACTTTTAGATATATTTTTGTTGATTTTATTTATCACTTTGTATAATTATTTATTTAAAGATTTGCTTGAAACGTCTTTGTTTTGCTCTTTGACATGTTCGATGTTCACCCGTTGTCGAAGTGTGTGTCCGAGAATTACATTTTCAATAACATTGTGGGAAATAGTGAATAACTTTTAATCTATCGATAAAAAATGATAAACTGAAAAAGAATAAGCATGTGAGATGTGATAGATTTAATAAATGAATGGTAATGACAGGTAGGTCCATAAAAATATATACTATTTAGACGTGACTAAGTCTGGCCGGTTAACCGGCCTACAGTGCCTGGAGATGCGATGCTTCTTGGCCGGTCTACCGGCCTACGGTGCCTGGAGACGCGATGCTTCTTGGCCGGTCTACCGGCCTACGGTGATGAAAAGAGTGAAAACACATTTAGAACGTATCTGTGATAAAAGTTTATTTACAAAAAAAAGACGTACGTATATACGTCTTTGAAAAAACGTATCGTGAAAAATCGAGATACAGCACCTCACAAATCGCACACCGTATCGTATGGTGTGAATCGCGATGCATCGGTGTCCCGGGATATCGTTTCAGCCCTACCTGGTGCTCGATAGTGTGAGCAAACTGACCTCAACAAGTCCATTCAGTGAGTGTGTGACTGTTGGTGTGAGAGTGAGTGAGTGTGTGACTGTTGGTGTGAGAGTGAGAGTGTGACTGATGGTGTGAGAGTGAGTGAGTGTTTGAGTGAGTGTGTGACTGTTGGTGTGAGAGTGAGTGAGTTTGTGACTGATGGTGTGAGAGTGAGTGAGTGTGTGACTGTTGGTATGAGAGTGAGTGAGTGTGTGACTGTTGGTGTGAGAGAGTGAGTGAGTGTGTGACTGATGGTGTGAGGGTGAGTGTGTGACTGTTGGTGTGAGAGTGAGTGAGTGTGTGACTGATGGTGTGAGAGTGAGTGTGTGACTGTTGGTGTGAGAGTGAGTGAGTGTGTGAGTGATGGTGTGAGAGTGACTGTGTGACTGTTGGTGTGAGAGTGAGTGAGTGAGTGACTGATGGTATGAGAGTGAGTGACTGATGTGAGAGTGAGTGTGATGTGAGTGTGTGACTGATGGTGTGAGAGTGAGTGATTGCAGGTAAGACAACCTATGCTTGTCATGAGGAAACAAAACGGACTCTGTGACTCTTTGCATGTCCTCTATATCAAATGAGTGGATTGAAGCTCATGATGCAAATCACTGGACTATCTGGCCCAGACTTATTTTCAGACTGCTGTCACATAGCTGGAATATTGCTGAGTGCGGCATTAAACACAGGAAAAAAGCTTCCATCCAGCATGTCAATGCCTCAGACACTTACTACAACACAGGCAGAGCTTGTGATACTTCTTCCCCAGTGCACGCCTCTCCTCTGCAAAATACACTGGTTTGTTGCAGCGGGGACAGGCATCAGCGCCACCTACCCTAGGACCATCACCATTAGTTGCCATGGATACAGCTTGGGCCTTAGCTAGGGAGGAAACATTACTGAAATGAGAGAAAATTACATGACAACAAAATTTGCAATACCCAAGTACAGTTCATGTAAATCTATCAGCCTCCACTCACTAAAATGACATGGCATTGTCAGCACTTGTGTAATTATTCCATAATCAGAGTTTTATGTATATTTTATATATTTATCCTATCGACAAGGCCTCTTTTCAGCACTTGAGTCAGAAGACAGTATTCCTACTAGCTCTAGCTACGGCAGCCAGGGTTAGCGAGCTCCATGCTCTGGATGTCACTTGAGGCCAGAGGAAACAACACTCCAGGGGGTCTGACCATCTTGGCCTGTGCTGGTATTTCCTAGCTAAAAACCAACAACCTGGCCAACCAGCTAGACAATTTACCTATTTACCCCCTCGAGCAAACCATTCCCAGATTCCTGTTTATGGATTGTCATGACAGCGTGAATCTGGGACTCACTTACCAAACAATTAGCCTAGGTCTCCTTAGACCACCTAAAGTCCATTCAGTGAGTGATGGTGTGCGAGTGAGTGAGTGTGTGATGCTGTGTGATTGAGTGTCTGATGTGAGTGTGTGATGCTGTGTGAATGATGTGAGTGATGCTGTGTGAGTGACGTGAGTGATGCTGTGTGAGTGACGTGAGTGATGCTGTGTGAGTGAGTAATGTGATGTGAGTGATGTGAGTGAGTGATGCTGTGTGAGTGACGTGAGTGATGCTGTGTGATAGTGATGTGACGTGAGTGATGCTGTGTGAGTGAGTGAGTGCTTGACGTGAGTGATGCTGTGTGACTGAGTAGCTTATACTGTCATATTTGCAATGGAATGATCAATATTTAACAATTTCTAATCTTAGGAAATCATTCTGAGGCAAACAGTTAGTTTTCTCTGTCAAACATACTAAAGATGTCACTTGCGTTGTAGACAATAGGTCCGTGTAGGTTTTTTATAGTATAAAATTAGTGATAAATGCAAATTATCAGAAATTCAGTTTGGAATGCACTTTCAATAACTAATTTCCTGGCAGCCTCGGCCAGACATTGAGTTCGTCCCAGGAAGATCCCTGAGAACATGCTGAAAATAGTGGGGGAAAATCTCTACTCATCATTTCACAAGAGGTTTCACTTATCTGCTTTCTACCAACTGGTACTGATTAACAATTTCCAACTTACTCCTGAGTTACCTCCCCTGCTCTGCCGGTGTCCATACTGAGGCCGGAACTACCTCCTGCGAAGCCATATCCCCGAGGACCAAATTTCTTCCCGTAACACGACTTGCAGAATATCTCATCCTCATGATTTGTGAGAGTGGTGCTGTCCAAGGACTTATTGCAGCTATCTTTAACAAAAGATATAGGTTGCAGATTCTAAGGTAAAGCTTCGGAATATCTCACTTCTAGGGGTGTAAAGATTCACCAACACAAGTATCAATACAACATGATATAAGTATATACAATGATATACTAGGTTGACATGTAAAACAGAATGAACATAAATCGTAAAATACATTCTGTGTATATTTACCATGTTTACAAGAGGGATCAAGCCACTGTTCAATATTTGATTCAACCCACAAAATATTTTTTAATTGTGCTACTATTCACTTCCTTCCAAGATAGTAACATTTCATTAGCACGTCAAGTTCAAGTTTTCATGTACAGTACCGCGACCTTACTAACAAGATAATTATCATGTCACAAAAAGGTTAATCATTGTTTATCATTCCTCAGGAGATAATGCTTAGGTAAGATCAAATCTCCTGGGTGATATCGCTGCAATGAAATTGTATCACAATGTATTGCAGACCATTGTGACATCCTCGGTTACCCAGACATCACAATTAAATGACATCACTAATCTCTCTGCAACTAGCTGTCAGCTGTCCTTTTTACATTCAAGACACTACATATTACTGTTTACAAACTTAAAAAAAAGCCATCAGAGAATGACAAATCCCCCTGGGCCCAACAAATTCTAAAGAACAAATCATCTGAGTATTACTTGATGTGAGAATTTCTATCTAATCTGCCTGTCGGTATACAGTGTGTACAAGAGTAGTTATTGAGCTATGAAAAAGATACTATGGAATTGGGATTCAGACTTTTGTATTTCTAACTAGAGTACACACCAATATGGACAGAGTCAAATTCAAACTTGTTGGCATAGAAATGGAAAAAAATATAAATTTTAAAAATCCCTAAATAGCAAAAAGCACCAGTTGACAACCTGGTTTTGTGTGTGCACAGTTTCAAGAAAGAATACCTTTTAGTTTTAGAGATATGGTCTGGACAAACACACCACAATGAAAAGACATGCCTCTGAGTTCTAAATTATTACTGACTCCTATTGATATCTTTGATATCCACTGACACTCAGGTGAGATTCTCTTTGTATCGTTCCAGCCCTACTTACTGCAGACAAGACATTTCTTGTGGAACTTCTTCCCCAGTGCTCTTGCCTCTTCAGCGAAGTAAACTGCTTGCTTACATCGGGGGCACTGTTCAGTTCCACCAAATTTGGGCCGCCCATCAGTTGAAGCAGCGGACCCCCCACCACTAGACATTAGAACAGGTTCAATCAGCAAATCAGATTGAAAACACAGCCACACCATGCAATAATCAGCTTAATATACATAGGAATAAGTTTATCATCCAAAACTGGCTCCCACAGGAGATATCGCTTGGATGAGATCAAGCGATATCTACACTGTAGATTATGATATCGCTGCAATGAAATTACATCACAATGCTTTGCAGACCATTGTGACGTCACTGGTTACCATGACGTCACAATCAAATGACATCACTAATGGCTCTGCTACTGAAGCTGTTTGCAGTACTTTTTACACTGAAGACACGGCTAATTACTGTCTACAAATTGAAAAAGTTGAAAGAATGATGTTGGATGATAAATAAAATCTCACCCTTGTGTCTTTTGATATCAAATATATCAACTCTCGTTGATAAAAGTGGCAAAGCCTCGGAATGTTTCCACTTTTATCAACTAGTGTTGATATATTTGATATCAAAAGACACTCGGGTGAGATTCTCTACTTAAAACAAAAAAATTATTGAAGAATGTTAATCATGATATCGAATTACAACATATTGCTTAACATGGGCACCCCACTCAAGACATAGTACTGACTCCAAGCCAACCAGTCCTTGTCTTATCTCCAGGCAAGGAAACAACAAGCCTTTTGATATGACACAGCAAGGGTTCTCAAACCACCAACCTACTGCAGAGGCTCTATCCACCAGACCACAAAACATTTCCGATTGAAATTTATTATATACGCACACATTTATAATCATCTGGCTGCAGTTCAGTCCTCAACAGGTAAATTCTGAATTGTTCTGCAAAATATAGTCATTCCACTGCCAAGAATAAACTCTGCAATTACCTCCGAACTTGGCTGCTCTTGCCATACTCTGTAGAGAGTCCTGCCCCCCCTGCAGCAAAGCCGTACCCCTTTGGGCCAAAGTTCTTGCTGTAGCAGGATCGACAGAACAAGCTGCCGTCATGGTCGTTCACGGATGTACTGTCCAGCAGCTTGTTACACTTGCCTGAAACATTCAGTAAATTATTCTTTGAAACCACCAACCCGTTGCTGGGATTATGTATCACCCGATGAATGAGTAAGCATATACTCCAAAACATTGTGTTCCTCATAATAAAGAAGTTGACATCCATAAATTCTCTTCCTTAAGGTGAACATGATAAAAAGGTTTATTTTTTTTATTTCACCTGTCCTCGATGAAACTAACCCCTCATGGATGGTGGGTAGGACATTATTTACAAGTTTGTATGCAATGGAGTTCAGAAATATACATAAAACTATAAACATGATAAAATAGCTACAAACTGCTGACAAACCAAGAATATTAATCAGGCCGAAACAGGTTTAAGACCCATGATCAAAATGATCATAGAACATCATCTGTTAACAGCAACTTTCATAATCAAGACTTCATAGGTTTGTATGCACTACATTCCTTTATCACCCGTCAATGTATATGACTACCTTCGGTGTAGTTGCTATTTATAACCAACGAATCAAGCCACAGTATGGTTCCAGCAAGAGGTGAGGTAAAATGTGGTCTAACGTCGTGTCAAAGATTATTGCACTTATACAGCGACCCTCATGCATGTGTGTGTGTGTTTGGCTGCTAGTACAGACTGCTGCTGATTCATAGTGCCAGCCCACTGAGCATAGATACCATGCCGCAGTTTAACATCAATACCCCACTCAGACACAGTATACTGACTCCGAGCCGACCATTCCTCGTTTCTGCTCCTTAATGCCGAGCACCAGACACTGTAACAACAAGTACCATCTTTTAACATCTCTTGGTATGAAGTGGTCGGGGATCGAACCCAAGACCTTCAGCTCTTTCAGGCAGACGCTCTATCCACTACACCACTGACTGACAAGGAAGTACAGAAATTTAACTGATGAAAGTTAACACAAATATACAATAATAACCACGGACCAGATCCGTATATGGTCTCTGAATATAATAATAAATCAAAGGCCGAGAATATATTAACAAAACAGTATATCACACTGTGACAAAAGTGTGCATTTTTTAAAGTTGTAATCTCGTAGTACTTCCATGGATTCATGAGAATTACCATCTTTTAACATCGTTTGATATGACATGGCCTGAGATCTAACCCCTGACCTTCCGCTCTCCTGGCAGACACTCTACCACTAGACCACATAGGCTGTCGGTTCCAGCAAGAGGGAAACCATCAAATGGTCAGACCAATGAGCACTCACATTACATCCCCATGATCACACATACAGCAACATGTCGTGTGCAACATGCTGCAGCTTTACGGCCAACTGCTCTCCACATTGCTTTATTAGAACTAGAAGGCAAAAGCAAAGTTCACACCGAAATTATGCACAGAGTAGGGCTAATTTGCATGTCCTAACCATGCTATTTCACTCCTTGACATAAAATAAGTACATGCGTTAATATTATACCAATTTTGGCTGTATGTATTCATGGGTGATCAAAGAACTAGTGAAAACAAACCCATTTAGTACTGTTACTGAGCAGCAAACTGGGGGGTGGGGGTGGGGGTGGAGGTGGAGGTGGAGGTGGAGGTGGAGGTGGGAGTGTAATGGGAATGAGAATTCATCGAGAAAAGAACAATTTGTCCCAAAAAATTCTTTAAAAAATAATAATGCTTCAGACTGTTAAATAAAACAATTTTGCATGCCACAAAAATTACATTGTTGCAAGGTGTTTTTCTTTAAAAGCAAATCAGGCTCATATGTCATAAAAATGTTAAATCTCAAATTCTCAATACAAAATCCAAGGCCCTCCAAACATTCAAATGGTTGGTTCCTATATCATGTGTATATGACTTACTGCATTTCAAACAGAGTTTATGGAATGTCTTCCCAATTGCTTTCAGTTCCTCTGCAAAGTACACAGACTTGCTGCACACAGGGCACTTCTGGGCCATCTTGAATCTGCAGATAAGTCATCAATGTCAGTGTTATCATGGTTATAACAAGTTGAACATTTTCAATCCATTTAAGTTAAAAAATCATCATATTTTTATTGTCATAACTGTATAGAAAACTGAAGCATGGTAGTTTTGTGGCCATGATGACAAACTAGTTTCCCGCAAAGTTAGTAAACCACTCTGGCATTTCCTAAGTGCAGTTAAGAATTCCAAATTCATGTTGTCACAATAGGTTCCAGTACTGATGTACATATGGAAAAAGATGACTTGTCAGGGGCGTTCAATTAGTATACCCGACTTGCCCAACACGTGAAACTAAAGTGCCTGACAAGTAGGAAAAATAATTTAGTTGCCCTCAGGCAAGTATGAAAATCGGCAGTATTAACTTTCAAATTTAGAACAAACACTATTGTATGGTTTGTCAACTTCAGATAAAGTACCCAACTGGACATTTTTCTCTTCTACACATCTTTATCAGCTGTTGCTTCAGTTAACAAAGTTTTATTGTTAATACTAAAGTTTTCTTCTTTTCTATAATTTAGCAGGGCAAGCTGAAAATCGGGCTAGGCAAGTAGAATTAGGAAATTTTGATATTTGAAGTTTGAACACCCCTGCAGTTGTACTTCACTGGTAACAGGACCAATAATGAAACTTTCCTCAATCATAGTCATGCTTAGTTTTTACCATGTGTTTACATGATTGTTTTCTTGTCTTACATTCTTACATGAAAGCAATGTCAAAATACAATGCTACAATACCTCTGAATTTAAGAAAATGAGAAATCTTAATAGAAAATAAAAAACCGAGGTAATTTTGGACACCGAGGGCACTTTTAACCTTCCCAAAATTTATTGCTTCGGAAGAAGGCTTACTTTGGAAACCAGATAAATCCCAGATTTTTACCATGTTGACCGTTACCATGGTTACTGTCCAACTGCTGCTATCAGTGCAGTAATTTAAAGCTCAGTGGTAATCATTTTGTAATAAAGTATTTGAGCATGTTGAGTAATTGATGACATTACCATGATAGACATGACACATATATAGACTGTTGACAGACATGATAGGGAAATGCTATTTGATTTGATCTTTCAGCTTACAGTATTTTTTGGAAGTTCTTATTTTACTAAAATTGGAGGTATTTTAACATTGCATCAAATGCAATGTTGTAAAATTAAGAATGAAAGCCTCTTCCTCTTTATTGGTCCTGTTACCATGGTTACTAGTGGAATATACAAGTTTACCTCTTCATGCTCTACAAAGCCATAACACTTATAGTTTATAACAACATCATGTATTTTAACATAAATTGGGAAATGTTTAATTCCAAATTGGGAATTTTAACTGACATTTGCTGCAGACCTGGGGTCGAATATCAGACTCTGAGCAGGTCTAGCAAATTCCTGAAAACATTCTGTCCTATGGAACCAATTAATGGCTCTCTGGTTGAAAACTGGGACTTATATAGTTGTACTATCCATATCAACTTGATATGATAACGTTATCAGGATATTATGGCATCTCCTGAAGGGATGTATAAAACATGTCAGCTGTGGACCCTCCTACTGTGTCCAGGACTCCCACAAACACATCACAACACTACTGAAGGAATCTGAGGCAAAATTCTTTGAATTCCATGACAGATTTTGCTCAAATCTGCAAGCACTGGATTTCGTCACAGACTCAAAATTATTAAAATAACTTGTTAAGTGTTACCATGGTTATATAAACAAAAGTGTCTATCTAGCAATTTAAACCGAAGGCCTGGGGCATAAAAGTTTACCCAAATTTGGAATTGTTTAAGAGTCCATATTTTCTTAAATTCATAGGTATTTCAACATTGCTTGTTGTTTCTCTTATGCTTATAGGTTATCAGAGAAATAAAAGTCGCCTTTGCTAAAAACATAAGAACATGAATAACATGGAAATGATGCAGCAATGTAATTTTGATATATATAGACTTAAAAGTATCTTATATATTAATTAATGATAAAATTAATTAGTCTTTAGGTGTATAGATTTAAATGAAATTAAATTATGTAGACCTGCAGCTAAACAATTTAATGCCAGATTATAAACTTGGCTGATCCATAATATGTTTCCAATTGTATTTCAGCTTTTTCATTGTCCATCTTAACCATGCAGTTTGATATTTCAAGCATGACTGCATGTTATGACTGTTGCACAAGCTGTGGTTTTTGCTATCGACTTTCTTTCACATCTGTCATGATTTTATACAAAGTAACTCTATGTGTGAAAGTATTGAGGTGGGGTGAAATGGGGTTTAACGTCACGTCCAAGATAATTGCACTTATATAGCGACATGCATACACGTGTGTGTGTGTTTGTGTGTGTGTGGCTGCTTGTACTAGTCCAGACTGATGCCAATTTATAGTGCCAGCCCACTGAGTTACACATCAATACCCCACTCAGACACAGTATACTGACTCCGAGCACACCAGTACTTGTTTTAGCCCCTTATTGTCGAGCGCCAAACAGCTTAACAACAAGTACCACATATAAAAGTCTTTGGGTATGATGTGACCAGGGATTGAACCATGGACCTTCCGTTCCCGGGCGGACGCTCTACCACTAGACCACGGAGGCGGCCGTGAAAGTATTGACCAAACAAAACAAATAATTCTTGAGTTGTTTTGTCCAAGGTTGTTTTGCCAAGATTTTTGATTCTGCAGATGATTCTGTAAGATTTGTCACAATTAAACTGTAAAATATTTCAGCATGTGCAGGGACCGTTATACATTAAACATGATAGACGGTTAGGTGAAATTGGCTTTGCGTTCAAGATACAGAGATACATGGCATCAAACTTTTGGACTCATTTTCTGCAAAGTCCCATTTTCAGACTTATAACTGTTTATGTAATAATTTCGTTTTTTAGACATAATGCCTGATTAACTGAACGTAGACATGTATGCTGAATTGTTTTGAAATAATTATTTTCTTACATTACAAACTAACAAGAGAAAAATAATATATTTTTGTACCGTCCTCACACATGGCGACTTTTACGGAAGTAAGTTGACAAACGTCTTTCTTAATGACGTCACAGCACAATTGTATCCTAGCACCCTATCCTGGTGGGTGACAATTACTGTTTTTAAATAAGGCTGCATGATAAACTTCCAGTAAAGAATCAAATCTAGATCAGAAAAGCCAGTGATTACACATGTGAAAGGAAAGATGTTATCTCTGGAGCACACAAAGGTGTACAACAGACTGATTAGTTTGTCACCATGATCAAAGTTGAGATTGAAATTAATAATGAAAAGCCTTAAATGCTGTATCTGAAATACTGGCCATACAATCACATTTATAATATAATCAGGGTTTTACCACGACCATGATGACTGACCCCTAATGATTAATTTTAAGGGTCCTTGTAGGCAGTATGAGGGTCCTGTAAAGTAGTGAAATGGTGTAGTGTACTGTATGTTTTGATATTTACATTACGCCTGGAATGAATAAATGATCAAGTGGACTGTGGTCACGGTTGTGACCGACACCCATAACTGCGCTTGATGTGCTGTAGGTATAGTGAATATTATTGTGCATCCGCAGTATATTCTTTTTCTGCATTCATTCTCTACATTTGTCCATACTGGACGCACATTGGTGTGTCACGTAAACCCTAAATCATGTAAATGAATACTATAGCAGCTGGTATACTAGCGTTGCTGTTGCCAATATATTTGTTTCACACAACTGAAATCATAGCTGGCATTTTGATATTCTAATGATCAACTACAAACCATTTGACAAGTTACAACTCCTTTACAAAATAATCATCAGAGAGTATTTCTCCTCTAGAAAAATTGGTCATGTTGGTCAGCTGTGGTCAAAGCCGCAATGGCTGTACGTGAATAGAATCTTTGACAATATGCTGTTGACTGTTCTGTCCAGGGTCAAACAAAGGTTTGCCTGTGGTCAGCAAGGACATTCTAGCTTTAGTTAAGTAGATGAAGATGTGAATGTCAGAGGGCGAGAACTATACCTGGGCCCACAACAAATTCACAGTTAGAGGTTATTCTACGAGTGGGTAGACATTCCTGCTTTCTGTATGTGCTAAATGGAATGGGGAAACTTTGATAAGACTTCTGGGAGGAAATGTCCTGGTGCTGGAAGAATAGCATTAACATGTGTTGTGGACATGGTAGACTGTTCAAAATTAAAGGGGGTCAGGGCTGTTGAGGTTTGCAATGTATTTGAACATTAGCATGCCATACATGATAAATCTTCAACTTTAAAAATAGGATTTTGACCATGATGAAAAGTCCCCATTACTTTCAGACTTCATTCACAACACTATCAGACAATAGGCATGACAGGGGATGTGAAAGAATAATTTCTAACATCATGATCATGTACAAAAATAATAGCTTACTAAAATAATGACGTAGTACTTGTTGGTCATGTTAGCATGGTTAGTTGCTAAACATGATAAAGGTAGCTTTCAACATTTTTATTAGTTTCATAGTTTCTCATTTTAAAGTTTTTTGGACAACAATGTAAAATCAACAAACACATGATTTATCATGATCGTCTATTGAACATGTTGAATATTGAAAATAGTATGCATCCTTTTCTTAAGTTCTAATTTGAAAAGGTATTTTCAAATTTCAATAAATGCAATAATGTAATATTAAGCATTACACATGTTAAGGCTGTTCCTCTATTATGTTTATTAGTCCTGCTTTAAGCGAAAAACATTTCCCCTCGACCAAGCCATGACATTAATTACAGCTGTATTAACAGGGAGCAGGAAATTAATAATTTCCATTTGGAAACTTTTACAGACATTTGTTGCATACTGAATATTGGCCACTCAGTACCATTTCATTGTATCACTATTCCAATATTTCTGTTATTCTATCACAGTTCTGGCACATAAATTGTAAACAATAACTGGCATTGTTACTGTCGGATAATGTTACAACATAGTTGAGATACCTGATCTGCATATTGTGTGACAAGGGCATCAGGCTACAGATTGTACAACAAAGTTCTACCACAAAAGCCACACATGATGGGATAAAGGAACTGCTCTGTTTACTCATACAATATCATGTGCCTAACAGGATTAGTAGGTTTTTTGTGTGTGTGTGTCTTCTTAGTCAAAAAGAATTTGTGGTTCTGCTATGGTGAAAATATACATTTGTTTTGCAGGGCGTCAGTACTTATTCATGTAATTGTATAGGCTGTGCATTTTTTTGTGGTCTTGCATAACCATGATAACATGTATTCCTACATATATCTTGCTTTGAACACTTGTTGATCATATTCAGATTTATGTAATCATGTACTGGAAACCATTTTTAAGTCTCTAGTCAGAGACTTGTAAAATAAGACAAAATTACATAACCTTGTGGGCTACCACTTTTAACACGCAGATGACAACTCTGATCATTTTTGGGACTAGCGAAATTACAAGGTAATTTTTATACCCCTGCCATGTGACCCATTAAATGTGAAAATGCTCCCATTGGATTCCGGGTTAGAATATTAGAACCCTTGCAACGTATTCTTGTACAAGGCGAGGATTGGCTGGGTTAGGCTCCTGCAGCAACTTGGTTCATCATGTTCATTGTGTGTCATCATACCCTGATTGCATGGGATGTTCAGAGCTCCATATAACATTTGGGGCAATTGAGTTTTTACTCGACGGTTTCTATTTTAATTGGTTTATTACATTTGTCATCAGGTGACCAATATTTTTTCACTCATCTATTCATAACTCTTTGGGTTTTTTCCAAAAATGAGTATAAACATTTTGAGATTTAAAAAAAAATGAAATAATGTTTTAGATGTATATAACGGTTCTAAATACAGGCTTGAATCTAAAAGTAAATTAGCTCGTAAATGTGTTTTGGAAATAAGCTCCGTTGTATGCACGCTGAAAAAGCTTCATTGAAAAAGCGTGCTGCTTTTATACATTTGAGTTTTTCCTAAAATACATGTGTTTGTGTATGCAAGTTAATTTAAAGTAATTGAGTTTTGAATATTTGGGGGGGGGGGGGGGGGGGATTACGCAGCTTATCTGTAGCTCTGGATGTTGCTCATAATATCAATCACAGGATTGTCTGGTCCATATCAACATATTATTAACAGGCCCTGGTCTGAGTGCAGGCACTAAACAACAAACAAACCTGTGATGGACCATGTGTTAGAAATATGGGGCTAAGGGAACCATATGACATTTCTCGGAAATGGAGGGTCATTTATTTTTAGGGTTATGACTAAGGGTTTATGGCTTAACCTGCTGATTGCATTTATAGCTGCCGAACTTTGCGATATGTCAGTGATACTTTTTTCACTGACACTTATAGGATTTTTACACTGTTTACATTCACATTTATTCACTTGTTCTGAATTATTATCATGACTAGAATATGTGTTATGGCTTCATGACTGCAAGTGCAAATCTGTTGATGACCTTAAATTGAAACTCACTAACTCATTATCATGATTAATAGAAGTAGAATATGAAACATATGAGTGTTTTTTGGATGGGCTTCTGAGTTCAAAGTTCTCAAGTTCTGAAACTGGGATTACAATGGCAAATAATATGTCCTAGTATATGCATATAGTATATGCCTGTATATGCCTGTGATACAGTTCAACATAACCTTGATAACTTTTTAAAGTAAAGATCATCTTGTCAAAACATTATATATACATACATTATTCACTCTGATAAGTGTCCTGCTCCAATATGTGCCCATAAGCAACTTCCTGACCAGTCTGTAAGTAATCTTATATAAGCGCCTCCAACCAAGACAGAAAATTTACATGGCAGTCCATATTTTCTGGAGTATGTTACAGACATTGTTTTACAGATAACATCAGTGCAGATGGGGTGTATTATTGCACAGAAACTATTATCGAAAAAGTTTTAGTTTCATCAACATCTGAACTAAGTTCGTTCCCTACTGATAGCTCTCTGAAAACAAATTAAACTTGTATAATTTTCAAAGCAGCTGGGGTGCATATTAACATGTATACAGTATGTTTTCTTAAAATAATATATATTACATGCATGACCAGGGTTTCAGCTCTGTTAATTGTCTAGTAAATTAACTGACAGTCAATGAAAAAGAATGTCCCATCAAAAGTTGGGGAAAAAAAATAAATGTCCTATTAATATCATAAATGTGTTTCTAACAAAAGAATTACTATAATTTTTCTGCTATGACATCATATACGCTGATCAAAATGCATAATTCACACACAATTCCATGGCTGAATAGATCCGTTACAATTCCTAACAAAAGTTTCATGTAAGTACGGTGTTCAGCGGTTCTGTCTAAAGTAAATTTCTCAATTAAAATTTAACAAATTACTAATCAAGTCCACAATCTCCCATGATATGTACCACGTCCACTGCATATCATCCACTGTCATGATAAGTCAAGCATGTAATCGCCTATTACGGAGTGACGACCAAATGTAGCGGAACTACTTTAGTACTTATACATCATGGTGTCTATATTTCAAATATTTGACACGGAAGTGCCGAGCGGATATCGTGTCAACAAGATTTACCTGTATTGATGTTGCTATCGACAATCGTACTTCCCGCGTAAGATGTGGAATTGAGCAGGCTGTAGTGAATCACCTGTTTTCAGCTCACGTTTAGAATGTTCCTGGCAGACTGTCCAAGTCAACAATTACAGGTGCACCTTCGGAACACAACACCGCGCGCGCCCGATCCTCGCGAGAAGATTTAACACTTTGCACACGGCACTCTGCGAAAGCAACTGACTGGGACAAGCTCCATTGTCTTGTGTGGTAGATAAATCCCATTTTCTGTATCGACACGTCTTTCGTTATTGACACGGCTATATATGGGTCGATGTGTGCTTTCTTTAGACAACAATTAAGGATTTACATATGTACAAATACATAATCCCAACAGGTGCGCGACAATTTGAGTGACTAGTTCTTTGGGTATTTCACGCTTGCGCACTGCAAAGCACTAAAGATAAATAATAGTCGTACAAAAGACGTATATAGATCTATATACGTCTTTGGTCTAACCTATCTAACTAAAGAAAACGCGGAGAACATTCCCGAACTCAATATATGTCCGGGAAAGTGTATTTTAAGCGTCAAAAGCAACAATTGTACTAAAAATAATAATAAATGATTTCGACTGTAATAATGTATTGGTGTTTGTAATGACGTAACACTTCACCCAGTAGATCTAGTACATCCATCCATAAAAATATGTTGCAGACATAAACTTGAAAAAAATATGATGTAAGTCTGTCACAACTTCTGCAAATCTGTTTCTCAGTTCGCCGAGGGATATAAATTTCGGGTATAAATATATCGCACAGAATATGCATTTGATCTGTTATACAATACATTACATATTACAATATAAATACGTATATAATATCACTTGACGTGATGGTGTTTTATTATATATCTATACTTTTCAAATGCCATATTTATATAATGTACGTGAGAATCAATAAAAGATTGGCAAAGAGGCCGAGCCTATATAAATGCCTTTTATGCAATTGAGTTGTGTGACACATACATAGGTTTGCTTAACTGCAAGGGGCCTTGAGTGTGGCTGGGTCACGGCACGACTGAATTGGTTTTTTTACGTCAGTCAGTAATATTCCAGCTTCTGATCACTGCGGCCTAAAGATATAAATGCTCGAATCTAGGCCAGACAAACAGGTGGGTGACTGCATGGGCACAAATCTACATCATCAACCAAGACACATGCATTGTAAACACCCGTTCTTGACCGGTCAGTTCAAAGGACAACCATGGGTACTGGGACCTATTCTGAACCGGATACCCACTCACACTGACAGTTACTATGACTGTACCCCCGTGGAATTTCGGGTGAGAATAGGTACTAAGCAATCTAAGCCGGCCGTAAGAGGCGACCAAATAGATCGGATGGTCATGCTCGGTAGCTTGGTGTCATACCCCGACGGCGTGGATCGTTGCTTACAATATCAAGGACCTAGATTTTTTAAATAGAAAACAGTTTTATTTGAATCAAGTTGGGGACAGGGACACTGTAGGGGAATCATCCTCGAGTATCCAGGGTCTTATATTATACGATAAGTACCCTGCATGGAACTCCTCCCGCCACCATAGCTTCGTTTCAACAGTGGATCTCCACCTCCATCGCCCCTAACCCGTAGGACTGCCTCCGTGGTCTAGTGGATAGAGCGTCTGCTAAAAGAGCGGAAGGTTGATGGTTCGATGCCTGGACAAGTCTACCCAAAAGATGGTATTTGTTGTTTCCCCGTCTAGCATTCGGCATTGAGGAGATACAAAAAGGGTTGGTCGGCTCGGAGACAGTATACTGTGTGTCTGAGGTATCCATGTTAAAGCGCTGATACTTGGAGCTGGCACTATTAAACTGGCATGTATCGGGACTAGCACACGCACACGTGAATGCGCGTTCGTGGCTATATAAGTGCAGTAATCTTGAACGCGACTTTAAACCCCAGTTCACCTGGCCTCCTAATTCGTGAGGATCCCTGATAAATAATAGGTCCCCAGCAACCTGTGCTGGTCGTAACAGGCGACATCATTGATCGGGTGGTCATTTTCGGTGACTTGGTTGAAATTTTACATGTCATCGTATCCCAATTGCGTGGATCAGTGTCAGTCACTGTGTTTAACATCGTTTGTTTTATCTATCTATTTATCTATCTTATAATATTACCTTCCACGAAAGATGGTAAAATTCTCCATTGGTATGGCTAGAAGAGTTATCTCCCTTCGACCGCAACTTTCCTCTTCAGATGTGAATGGATGTGTGATATATTCTGATGCTCAATTTGTTTATGTTTCGGAAGTGATCGCACAACCACTGATTTTGATTCTCCACTTAAAAGCCAAAACATGTACCAACGCAAATGTCTTTGGTTAAGGAACACATCTGAGATTAAGGCTAATTATATATTGGCGGTAAAGTACACGTCAGGAATAACGTGTGGTCCTAATTCCGCCTAAGTCAACAAGGAAATGTATGTTTTATCCACGTGAGCGAAATTGCCTAGAAATACATCAGTCCTCTGTAGATCGGAAGGACGTCATCATGAGATCTTCCGCCAACCATAGAAAGCCGTTGGTTTTAAGCATTAACATGTAGCCCCCATTCATCAGAATTGTACTTTTCTTCGAACTTCTAACATTTACAACTGTTCAGCAATTTAAGATTATCCCAACAAGCAGTAGCATCACATATCTGGTTATCAGTGACTTTTTAAACTTAATTGCTCGGAAACCAACAAGAGAGCAACAAGATTGTAGTAATAAATATGTATCTATTTTCTTAATAAGGGACGTCATATAGTCATTAAGATTTGATCAGGCCCTATATCATCATCATCATCATCATCATCATCATCATAACAGACCCGTAAAGATCCGGGGTAGAATAGGTCTTCAGTAACCCATGCTTGCCGTAAATGGCGACTATGCTTGTCATTAGAGGCGACTAACGAGATCGGGTGGTCAGGCTCGCTGACTTGGTTAATGCATGTCGTTGTATCCCATTTGTGTGGATCGATGCTTATGATATCAATCACTGGATTGTCTGGTCCAGACTCGATTATTTATAGACCGCCGTCACATACCTGGAATATTGCTGAGTGCGGCGTTTATAACATAAACGATATCTTACATTAAGCTTTAAACCTTAAACTCTCAAACTGCACCAACAAATATTGAACCTGATTTGACGCATTTTTTTTGTTATAAAATAATCGATTTCGAGAGAATCTTATGGCCTTTCATGGGCATACCAGTGACGCGAAATAAACCATGCTATGGATTTTGCTCCTTGTCTGATGCATTGTTTGAAGTGATTGTTGACGATCCAATCAGAGCAACAGATAAGCTTTACTTGCTTGGTCACTTTTATCAATATTTTGCATATATGCAGCGTATACGTTAATACAAAGTGCTGAAACTGATGATCGTTTTAAAAAAAGTTGGGCCGATTACCTGATGCCGAATTCACTAATGCCCATAATCCCAGTATCTCAATATATACGGAAGTACTGCAAGGTTTAAAAAGGGCATTGAGAACGAGCCAAACATACTGTCTACATTCCTTTTGACCACAAATCTGTTATTTAACCACGTTGCGGGAAACGTAAAGGAAATGGCAATCGTTCGAAAATGTAAATTTAAAATTATTGTTTATCTTGAAGTGGCTTTAATATAACTCGCGTGAGTTAGTCTTTTTACAGTATCTCAGTTATATCACAGAGTGGTAGTTTGTGAATGAGAAGCACGTGGTGATACAGGTTGTCATTATAAGTGAATCTGTATTGGCAAGGAAATGTGTTAGCCTGATCCCTGTATTTGTTTGTTTGTTGTTTAACGCCGCACTCAGCAATATTCCAGCTATGTGACGGCGGTCTGTAAATAATTGAGTATGGACCAGACAATCCAGTGATTGACATCATGAGCATCGATCTACGCAATTGGGATACGATGACATGCATCAACCAAGTCAGCTAGCCTGACTACCCTATCCCGTTAGTCGCTTCTTACGACAAGAATAATTGCCTTTTACGGCAAGCATGGGTTGCTGAAGACCTATTCTACCCCGGATCTTCACGAGTACTGATCCCAATACAAAGTTCTTGCATGCGTGTGTTCTTGGGGTGAATGTGTTTATGCAGTGAATCCGCATGTTCAGTTAGCCCTGATATACTCCGTCAGGGAAACTCTGAGCTGATTGATAAGATATACGTTGATTAATGTTTTATCTTTTATCAACCGAAAAGACACCACATAAACACAAAACAGCAGAAAAAACACGAAACGGAACACAAGGACACAAAACAAAGCACAATAATACATAACTTACGAACGAAACCAAAGCAAAATACGACATCAAGCTACACACGCATACAATTAGAACAAGCCTAGACAGATCCTAGATTCTGGAGTTATGTGTATCACATCGTGGACTCTCCGTCATTTACGAGTAACTATATCATGTAAATATTGACTTACCTGTAGTTTCTCGGCATCCCTGGTGGCGAAACGTGTCGTATGAGGTTTCAACTTCAAGTTTATAATGTGAAATGATTACTCGAGTTATTTGAAGTTTAAATGTGAAGAAGGAACTAAATCATGCACACTAGGGTTTTGTTTCATAGAATGACACGCCGTGTTTCCGGGTTAGGGGAAGCCGAAATAGAAAGTGGAAGTTATTGCTTAGAACACTGCGCTGGACAAGTGTGAGTTAGTACGCCGCTTTCAGCAGTATTCCAGGAATATCACAGCTGGGGTCATCAGTAACGGGTTTCACACATTGTACCCATGTGGGGAATCTAACGTTCGGTGAGACGAGCGAACGCTTTAACCACTAGGCCACCCCACCGCCCTGGACAAGTAAGAAACATGTCAGTGTGGATCGACCAGTGTGTTCATGTTCATAATGTGACATTTTGTGCAGAATTGATACTTATTGGAGTTAAAGAGAGCATAAAACAGATTGACTTTTACTTAATACAAAATTCAATATTTATAGATGCAAATTCCAAAATACAAAACTTTATTTTCATGTTTATAAACAGGAAGATTTTTCACACAACATTGAAAAAGATATTTAATTCAAGACAAGTAATAAGCATAAGTTCTTTGGAGCTTGGATGCTGTATCATAAACTCTTCGAAAATGAGAAGCAGCTTTCACATTAATTTAGTTTTACACTTTTGACTTTAATGCTACAGACCATGTACCTTCCAGCACTGCAGTATAGCACATAAGCTTCAATAGTTTATGCATACGTGATGCTTGCAATATATTTGCATTACTGGAGTGAATGTGTGAGTGAGAAGTATGTTAATTTCTGTAAAAACGCTAAGACCTACAGATAAGTTGTGAAATTCTGCTACCCTAGGCGGGAGACTGTTGTGTGTAAAAAGAACGTTGAGACTTGCGTCTATTCACATTTGAAACTTATATGACTTGCAGAAGCTGTGGCTTTGTAATGGAAAAACACAACAAAACACAAAGCTGAATAGACTCGAACGTCAGGTGTCGGTATACATTTACTGCCTGAGTGAGTGAGTATGGTTTTATGCCGCGTAAGCAATATTCCAGCAATATTCCAGCAATGTCACGGCGGGGGACACCAGAAATGGGCTTCACACATTGTACCCATGTCGGGAATCAAACCGGGTCTTCAGTGTGGAGCTAACGCTTTAACCACTAGGCAACCCGACTGCCCTTACTACCTGGAAAGAAATTGAGAAATTGTATTGATATATTGAAAGTTATCTTTTATTTTAGATTAAAACTAATAAACGAGTAGCAGACAAGAAAAGTGTTGCTTGAATGTGTTATAATCCGGACTTGCTAATACTGCCCTCCCCAAATCTACATATGACAACCGCACCCCTGCCCCCACCCCAATTAGTTTGTTATTAAACCGGAATATATGACAAACCATTGTAACAAAACCAGTTTCACATTACTGATTGTAGTCTGTCTAAATGCTTTACCTGAAGTCTCCTGCAGCCTGGTGGTCATGATTAAAACTATTAGTATAAAGCAATTTTAATTATATCAATCTATTGAAGATATATATTGGGTTGAAGCCAGCAGTATATGCATTGACAATACACTACTCAGCCATATTCCAGCTATATGGCAGCGGTCTGTGAATAACCAAGTCTGGACCAGACAGTCCAGTGATTGATATCATGAGCATCTATCTATGCAATTGTGATACGATGACATGCATCAACCAAGTCAGCAAGCCTGACCACCCGATCCCATTAGTTGCCTCTTATGACAAGCATAGTCGTCTTAATACATTACTGATGCCAGCATATCCATGCATTGGTCATGAAGACAAGACTGACACAATTCACTGATTATTTTTTAATTTTATGAACCTTCTCAACAAATAAACTTTTTTTTTCAATTATTTTGTGTGTGTAGTTTTATACAAATTTATATTATTACACAACCGTCCATGAGTGGATTGTTGTACACAGTTATAAGTAATATTCCATCAATATTCCGGAGGCAGCACCTGGGTATTAAGAGGCTTGTGTTCATCCATCCAACTATTTGTACACTATTTGTATAACTATTTGACCAGAATTGGCGAAGTCTGCCTTTCAACAAGGTAATTCAACACTGAATTTGAAATCTTAAGAAGAACAAAATGTTCAAAATGCAATAAGTTTATTTGATAGAAAATCACATGAAATGTACATTCAGCAATTTCTCGAAGGTTTATATGTATATCAATCTGAGATCATCTTGATGGCCATTCATGTAGATGACATAGGTCATCACAAACAATAGTTGTATAGCAATTTAGGTATTTACAAACTGGAACCATTTCACCTCAAACACAGCATTGTTTTCAAGCAGTATTTAACAATGTGAAAGGCTGAATACACTATCGACAAATTTTGTTAATGTTTGTTCTCTTACTAGGCAGTCAACATTATCCAGTTTTACCATTGTGGAATAATAGATAGACGGGTCTTGGTAAGACAAACCAGTGCTTGACATTATGAGCATCATCCCATGCTGTCAGGGTACAATGCCATGCCATCAACCATGTCAGCAATCCTAGCTCGATCATGAGTATGGACATAGTTCTTTGCTAGCATGTGATAAACACTATCCAATCATAAATATACATCCTAATCTCAAACAATGTTTTTTTTTGTCTGCAACAACCTGAAGAAACAGAAAATCATGCAAGAAACACATTGCGTTCATAAATAAATGATATACATAGCATATGATATACCATGTATATTTCTTATGACACCCTGCAAATGACACATGACATAACCCGTCCATAGATGACACAACCTGTACATCTCAATAACCAGCATTTGGCATATGCCCCACAGTACAGTCAATATATGATATGAGGAGTGAGTGAGTGAGTTGGATTCAATGCCGATTTGAACAGTATTTCAGTCATGTCAGAGCTTGACAGCTTGATTTGGGAGGCAAGCATGAGGTGATGCAGGTCGAGATGAAACCCCCAAGCACGTAGAAACATAACCCAGCCAAATCCAGGAAAGGGATGCAATTCTGCACAATGTATGGAAGCACCTTAGCACCATGTCCGACTGTGCCAGCATCAGCCCCACAACATGTTCTTATACCAATAAAGTTAAAGTATTCAATGCAACATCTGCATCCCTTCACCAGGAATAATTATTTAAAAATGCTATAAAACATTAAAAAATCCAATCTAAAGTATTAGCATTTTTTTGTAAGCAGTAGACATTTGTGTAGAAATAAGTAAATTGATGATGCAAGTGTCATAACATTAAATAAACATGTATATTATTAAGTAGATTAGGTAAACATACAAAAATGATATGAAATAAAACCCTGAAAACGAAATAGATGGGTTGTGATGGATATGTTACAATTAAAATCAATGATTTAATGCAAATTGCACAGAAGTATCACATAATAAGTCTCTCATACAATCTAAGATAATATTTTAACTACAATTATTTTCTTAGTCCTGTCCAAAAAACATTGTTTCAAAAACACAGTTTTTGGGGATGGGGTGGGGGTCACTGGTCACTGAGGGGTCTCAAATGGTCATATACCTGCCCATTTACCCTAAGTAATTCCCATACTTTCAATCATTCAGGCCAAAAAAAAGATAAAAACATGTTCCTCGTTGTTCAAAACATGTCATGTGAACACATTATATTCAGTCCAATCAGTAATATTTGGTCTTGTGGGTTTGAATTATAGCTTTATGATTGTCAAGATTGTCTGAATCTTAATGGAAGAGTTGTCTTTCCTTACATGAAAAATGTCACCATCTTGACCGTGGTTTGATTGTTATTTTTCTGCCTAAATTAGCAGGTAAGTGGTCTTTATCATTTTCCAAATACTGGATCCGCCTCTGTGTTTGGTCAGTCACACACACACATACACATAAACACACATACTAACTGTGATGGATCATAAAGAATTAAGCTTGACAAGTTGTCTTTCAGAAAATGATGATATGGTGCAGCTTAATATTGAAATAATAAATATCCATCCAAGAGAATATCACACAAAGAAATTCTTAAAAATAATATACAATTAAGGGTGTGCGCACAATGCACAAAATCCCCGAAACACAAAAAAACCAATACATACAGTCTTCATATAATATAAGTAATATAATCTATATGGACTATGGTGTATGTCAGTTTGCTGAGTTGGAAAAGGTTTATGAGCTGCAGCTGTCTTAAGATTAAACAAACTTGGATGTGCTACACTAAAAGATGCCGATACTGTTTTCTTCTGACCCCCTTACAGCTTGTTCTATTCCTGATAGCATAACCTGGCTGTCTGAATAGGGGGCATTGTGTATGTTTATTAAGTGGCCATATATATTCACATGGATAAACATAGTGTTTACAAACCCATGAAGCATGGACGATGAAGAGAGGACAGCAGTATTGCAACAATGTCCTCATTTACCCATTTCACTATCTTAACCTTACAGCTGTTATAAGTCTGTGTTAAAGTATGGGAGTTATGACAGTCTTTGCGTTAAAATTGCTTTGTGAATCACACTCAAGGCATTTACTGTTACATAATAAGTTAATGGATTAAACCACAAGAGTAAAAATGGAATATGTAAAAACATTGATAAAGGTTACAATATAAAAAACACTCGACCCTTCAAAAGCTAAACTTCTAAATTGAGTGAAAAAAATGTCAAACAGATTGACCAACCACATCCCAGCATGGAAGACAACATGACAAATAAACATATAAAGAAATATGAACAATAGAGACAATATATCGATGGGATAAAAAATGGGCTCTTGTATTTGAGGACAAAAAATATAATATTCAGGTGGAAGTTCTCAAGGCATTAAACGTAAATACGGTAATAAGCTGACATGAACTAAGGGTACATGTATTTTGTTTAAATATATATTTTTAAACATTATCTGTTAGCCAAAATGTGCTGAAACAAATTTATTGTCTTCAGGTTTAGATTTCACTTGACATGCTGGATGCTCTTTGCAAACATTGGTTGTGGATTCAAAACATATTTTGGGCTCCTCTTCTCAGAGGTATGTTTTGAAGCACTTACTAAAACAAAATTCCAGCCTTTCCCCTCAGAATACCAAATGGGCAGTCCTCAATATACGAAAAAATAACGTTGTTCAATTCATGGTAAAAAATACTGTCGGATGAAGAAGGAAAATAATAATTACTTTACGTATGTAATAAATCAATCAATCTATCATCGACGGACAATGTCCTGTTGTGACGGGTAGAGAAGACTAGCAGCATGCTGAGGATATCCGTTGTCTTTCACTCACCACACAAAAACTTCTTTCAAACATCTCTATTTTCAACATGTACCGTATTCGACGTAATAAGCGCCCACGGCGATATTTGTTAATATATTGCCTAGTGAACAATCCCAAATAGCACCCCTTCCGATTGATCAATGTACACAAGACTTTATTCGTGTATAATACGCACTCATGTGTTATATGCACCCTTAATTATGGGCAATTAAATTCTGGAAAAATATGTCTGTCGTATATAAACATTTCAGGCTGTCAGCATAAACCACAAAATTTATCTTTCAACTCTGTTTTTTCCCCACCAAAATACCATTCTAATAAGAGCTACCTATTTCTAATTTTAAGAGCGGCCTGGGTGTTTATTACATCAAATATGGTATAAATGCAGATTTAAATGCACTCTTTCAATTTAAAAAAAAATTCAAAACAACACATACATACATATTTTAAAGCAGTATGCTATTGTTTATATATAACACCCTTGTCATTATACTGCTGGATATGAAGACTATTGGTAATTATCAAAGGCAGGGCAAACAAATGTCTTCTCTAAATAAAATACCCAGGTGTTTTTCTGGACTGGCAGCCATATTGATAACATTCTGAAACTGCTTCCCCAATCTTAGATGAAGGGTGTCCTGCTCTCTAGGATTTATTATTGTCTAAATAATGCACTGTTTTCTTTAACTGACTGGAGTGGCAGCATGTACCTATATACGTTAAGTGGCAGTAAATAAGTTGGTAATAAAAAAGTGGCGTGAAAACGTTGCATGTGTTGTAGAATTAAATATAAATATATGAAATACAGATGGCTTATAACATGATGTGGGTCAATCAGAAGGCATAACCAAGATACATAAACCTGAACAAACAAATCGAGCAATATCGTAGTCTAGTGTTGTATCTGTGAATGAATTGTTAATGACCCAATTACTATACATGCAATAAATAACAAATGTTTTGAGCATTCTCAAAATCAATATGAAAGCCACTGTTTCCAAGACACACAATATGATGATCCTAGCATTGTCTACAAAATCACACTTAAACAATGGCCGAGATCTAAAAAACTAATGTCATGTTCGCCATTTATGAAATCAACTAACTGCAACAAACTCAAATTCTCATCTCACTTATCAGGCAGACAACCATGTTTCTTGTGTATACAATAACACACTGACATATTCAGGCAATACATGCAGGGAGTTATCTGGGATTCCACACAAAGTACCCATGGCAGCAAATTGGATAAAAAATATTTTTTTAAATCAAAGTAGGGATGTTTTTAAAGCTTTTTTTTTCTTAATTTCAAATGTATTTTAACACTGTATCTTAACATTGCATTCAATGCAGTCATGTTAAATTCAGCATTAAGGCCTCTACCTCTTCACTGGTCCTAGTATCACCCCGACCAGGTCTTCACATTGTTTTATTCAAATTTAGAATTATTACTTGCAAATCCTCAGACTTTGGGCTGAATATGGGCCGCTGAGCAGATACAGATACATCCCTCGAATGTTTTCCATCATGTCTGTCATCATATTAACTGCGCATATTGGTTTAATATTCTCAGTCACCAACTGTCTTCTCATTAAGAGTATTGACTAGTACAATATCACTTCAACGCCTGTGAATACAAATAGATAATTTTAAGGTGGGATGGTTCACTGATACATCGATGTACCATGATACATGTATACTGATATATCATTATTTATGACTAGTGTACCAGTGGTTGGGATGGTTCACCGATATATCCATGTACCATGATACATGTATAATGATACATAATTATATTTGACTATTGTACCAGTGGTCAATGTACCAATACGAAACAATAAATACATAATAATTAGCACGTTATTAGTACCGTGGTTGTGCACAATAAAGCTCACTACAATGCGACACTGCCATGTTTTCGTGCTTGTTTGTGGCAATGTGGTTTGGCCAATCTATACAATTCAATAGGTATCAGTCAACCAACCAATCAAATATTGTATACCAGGGGTACACCAAGTGTTCATAAGGCTACCTTAGAACACTTTCAATGCCGTATTACAAGGGTAGACACCATGAATTGTCTCAATCCTGTCGCAGCTCATTTATGTAAAGTAATCTAGATTTTAAGTGATCGGTTCACCTACAAAGGTAAAATTACATACCTAATGCCTACAAACATCACAGTGATGTTGTTGAATGCCTAAGATGCTCGCCCTAATCTTGGGATTTTCTGATACAGCCAGATGACCCAGCTGAGAACCAGGTTCCACAGTGACCGTGCGACGCCCACCCGAGTGACAAGAACACGCCAGATGACCACTACCAGAACAGCGTTGATGACAAACTGGATCTGCTTCATTCTGAAACAAATTTAAGTCAGGTAATGATTACTGGATGTCAAAGGACAAATTGTCACAGAAACAAAGTGGGGAGTGAGGTCCTTGAGGATTTCTGCTGGGACCTCATTTTACTTTGCACATTAGCATTAGGGTTTCGGACACCTTGACTTTCATGTTTAATTTTCATCTCTGGTGTGATTGAACATCCCATCACCAAAGTCTATGCAATAACACTACTACACATATGTGAACACATACTTTCAATGATTGGCAGCTGTGAATTGTAGCCATGTACTGTTCCACTTTGACTGTCCAACATCTACTGGTTTTAATATGTAGCTATGACGCATGATTTAATAACATTCTACAAAAGACCAACGCTAATGTTGCACTGGCCTTCCTCAGCTCTGTATTAGAGCAAATTAACAAATATCAAAGAAGTATTTAAACCCCTTGTTCCCAAACCATTTATACCTTAAGTACAACAAATATTTCAACTGAAAATGTTATGAAGCTGTACACATGAAGGGGTCAATAATACTGCCTCGGACACTGTGTCTAAAAATAGTAACAGCGTCAGAAGCAGAGAACTCCCTTCGTGTTCTTAGACTCATTACTCAAATGAAGATATGTCCTCAAGGTATTCTTGTATGACAGATTATGACAAAGGAAAAGAATTCTTAGTGAACTATCATTTGCCAAACAATGGTCTTATCTTTGTTTGTTTGTTTGTTGTTTAACAAAATTCCAGCTATATGACGGCGGTCTGTAAACAATCTAGTCTGGACCAGACAATCTAGTGATTGACATCATGAGCATAGATCCATGCAATTGGGATACGATGACATGCATCAACCAAGCCTGACCACCCAATCCCTTTAGTCGCCTCTTACGACAAGCAAAGTCGCCTTTTACGGCAAGCATGGGTTGCTGAAGACCTATTCTTCCCTGGATCTTCACGGTGCCAATGGTCATATCAATCTGGGACTATAATATACACTGATGTAAACACAGAAACTACTAATATCACTTGATTGACATCGTCATCTTGAAGTTGAGTCATATTTTTTATAGTTTTAACGATGCTAAGTGATTGGTAAGTGTGCCCTTCAGGCAACGGGAACTTATCTTAAATATGTCATTACAATCTTAACCATGCTATTGGTACAAGAACACAAAGAATTTTGAAACCTGTCATGTAAATGTTAAAGAAAGAGGTGTAAGCTGATACAAGTGAGTGTCTGACCTGTACAGAGCTCTCCTAGCCTTGGGGAGTTGATCCAGCTCTTCCTTCAGGACAAACTGTTTTGTGCCAAGGCAGTAGCTCTCCATGTATGATGGCCAGTCTATGTGCCTGGCATCAAAGTCAAAGGTCTACAACAACCATGAATTGTAATTACTATTTTGCATAAGGGATTTAGATATTGTAATTGGGCTCCAAAAAGTGAGACGACTTACAAATAGTCAAGATCAAGGGTATTGGATTACAGTATTATAGTGTTTAGGTAAGTCGTTGATTACCTCCCTTTGACTGTGTTGGTCACTTACACTTGCAATATCGCAATATAAAATGACAACTCAACGATTATTCCTATTTGTAGGTTGCATAAATATTGCTGTAATACTTTGAGCAAGGGGTGCTGAAAAGGTTATCAAACAAATCAGAAACACTTGAAAACACTTTGGTGTCACTTGTGGGAAAAGTTTGATAAGCATGAGAAGGTTCTCTTGTATAGGATAAGAAGTTTTTTATGAAATGTTTCCTACATCTCGATCAGACTTTGACATCTTATCCAACAGCATAAATATATTGCTGTTGTCAAATTTCCACTCCCGAGATGTGAAGAACTCCAGCGTTGTCACAGCTTTCCACAGTCGATCCTGGATCTTCACAAATCTGAAAGGTCACACAACATAACTATCAGAAACAGCTTCACATTGACTGAGTCTTTTCAAGCCATCTTATGACATTTGAAGCAGTGTTTTACGAGATGCAAAATATTGCATTCACATTGAGAATGGATGCCAATAAATTACACTGCAAGTCCTGGTGGATGCCCCAAAACATATGTCGGTTGTAGTCATTAAATTTATGAATGCTCAGATATATATCTCATGCAACATGTGCCATAGCCTTGTGCCACCTATTCTACACACTGCTTCAACATCAGGCAATGGTAGACAGTAGAGTTCCATGAGTTACTGAAAATTATGAAATAAATGTGCTAAATGCTAGTGTCCCTTGCTTGCATTAATAAAGTGACAGATTTCTTTCTGAGGTGAGGTGAAATTGGGTTTAACGTCGTGTCAAAGATTATTGCACTTATATAGCGACGTGCATGCACGTGTGTGTCTGTGGCTCCTTGTACTAGTCCGGACTGATGCCGATTTATAGTGCTAGCTCACTGAGATACCATGCCGCAGTTTAACATGAATACCCCACTCAGACACAGTATACTGACTCCGAGCCGACCAGTCCTTGTTTTAGCCCCTTAATGTCGAGCGCCAGACAGGGTAACAACAAGTACCATCTTTTAACGTCTTTTGGTATGACGCGGCCGGGGATCGAACCCCGGACCTTCCACTCTCTGGGTGGACGCTCTACCACAAGACCACGGAGGATTTCTTTCTGAAGATACTGGAGTTTATTGTCACGTCAGGTTCACTGCACATGTCTATAACAGTGACACATACACAGCTGAGTGCTAGATTTAGTGTGGTCTGTTTGACCATATGACAGCCTCCAACAGTATATGCTGGCATCATTGTTCTTGGTTACCTTCATAGCTATATGGCTGAAATATTGCCGATGCGACGTTAAATTTTAACTCACTCACTTTTTGTCTGTTTGTTTGTTTGTTGTTTAACGCCGCACTCAGCAATATTCCAGCTATATGACGGTGGTCTGTAAATAATCAAGTCTGGACCAGACAATCCAGTGATTGACATCATGAGCATTGATCCACTCAACTTGGATACGATGACATGCATCAACCAAGTCAGCGAGCCTGACCACCCGATCCCGTTAGTCGCCTCTTACGACAAGCACAGTCGCCTTTTACAGCAAGGGCATGGGCATAGGTTGCTGAAGACCTATTCTACCCCGGATCTTGACGGGTCCACTCACTATTGGTAACCTTGTATAATAATCTTATATAAATATAATGCAAAACACTGCTGACCCATGCAACGGAAACTAACAGCAGTCGTGGTCAATACATAACACTGCTTAAAACGTTCAAAGTATTGTTCTATCAACTGTGTAACAACACATCAATCCTGTACAATCAATGTTGGTGAACTGACCTATCTCATTTGAATATGCCTTATTTGTAATTTCCAGCTTTTGATTTCATGGAAGTTTGACATAGTGACATACTTACATGCGTTCCCTCCCAATGAGGTACTACTGGCCTCTTACATCTACTCACACATCAGTGACACACTTACATGCGTTTCTTCCTGATGAGGTACTACTGGCCTCTTACATCTACTCACACATCAGTGACACACTTACATGCGTTCCCTCCCGATGAGGTACTACTGGCCTCTTACATCTTCTCACACATGAGTGACATACTTACATGCGTTTCTTCCTGATGAGGTACTACTGGCCTCTTACATCTACTCACACATCAGTCACATACTGACATGCGTTACCTCCCGATGAGGTACTACTGGCCTCTTACATCTTCTCACACATGAGTGACATACTTACATGCGTTTCTTCCTGATGAGGTACTACTGGCCTCTTACATCTACTCACACATCAGTCACATACTGACATGCGTTCCCTCCCGATGAGGTACTACTGGCCTCTTACATCTACTCACACATCAGTGACACACTTACATGCGTTACCTCCCGATGAGGTACTACTGGCCTCTTACATCTTCTCACACATGAGTGACATACTTACATGCGTTTCTTCCTGATGAGGTACTACTGGCCTCTTACATCTACTCACACATCAGTCACATACTGACATGCGTTCCCTCCCGATGAGGTACTACCGGCCTCTTACATCTACTCACACATGAGTGACATAATTACATGCGTTTCTTCCCAATGAGGTACTACCGGCCTCTTACATCTACTCACACATCAGTGACATACTGACATGCGTTCCCTCCCAATGAGGTACTACTGGCCTCTTACATCTACTCACACATCAGTGACATACGGACATGTGTTACCTCCCGATGAGGTACTACTGGCCTCTTACATCTACTCACACATGAGTGACATACTGACATGTGTTCCCTCCCAATGAGATACTACTGGCCTCTTACATCTACTCACACATCAGTGACATACTTACATGCGTTTCTTCCCGATGAGGTACATGTAGAAGTCCATTAGGTAGGCAGGGAGGATGTGGTCGAACAGCACGTTCACGCTCTTCCAGTATCTGACAACATAACAAACACAAGGGCTACTTTAATGCCTTCAGTGAGTGACTTGTGTTTTACACTGATCTGATATATCCATAATAACAAAGTGAGCTGGTTATATGCAGCTTTTATCAATATTACAGCAATATCACAGCGGGGACCACCAGAAACTGGCTTCACTCATTGTACCCATGTGGTGAATCATACCCAGGCCTTCAGTGAGACAAGTGAACACTATAACCACAATGCTCCTGAAATAGTCTCATGGGGAGGAGCATAATGTGGGTGGAAATCCCAAACTGAGGCAGGTCCTTACAAGATCAGGCCACAAGAGCTTCCAGTTGCTGTTCATAGCATCAGATTGACCATCTTCCCGAGGCAAGGGACTTAACTGACTATAAGTCCAGTTTCCACCCTTGCCAAAATAGGCTGGAACTATGGAGTTATATTTTGGCTGGACTAATGAGTCTATGCCTAGTCCAATCAAAATTGATATCTGGTTCATAAACATGGCGACTGTACTGCAGACTTTGGTTGACTGCAGGATTTGCAGAGCATGTTAACTGGACGTCGACAGATGGTTACCAAATCTTTTCATGTATTTGATCAATAATGCTTGAGTGATTTGATGCAATTCAAGAGGTAAGACCATTTTATTACAATAGAGATCTTGATTATCGATCAGATCATCTTGACTGGGCGCCGCCATTTTTGTTTGAAGCAACTGCAAGTGATATGAGAGGTGAAATCTGATTGGTCAGTAGGAAGGACATAAAAGGGACATAACTCATAATAGCCACTGGTGGCGCTACGATTAAGCCACGAAATTCCAGCTTAGTTTGGCAAGGATGGAAACTGGACCTTTACAGTCAGTTAACTCACTTGCCTTGGGCAGATACAGATTGACCAAACGATGAAACTATTAGCATGCATGCCTGAGTGAAAATGAAGGAGCTTTTTAGGATAACATAACGTCAGTTCATTTTGTGACAGTGAGAAATGCATAATGACCATGCGAAAAAATCTAATACTTCTAGTATCATATCTGTCTGTAAGTAGTATTCAAAATCTGTAGTATCAGTGAAGACAGGAATGACATGGATTTCAAGCAGTGATAAGGTTCTTACAAATATACAAAAACGTCACACTAAACATGTAAAAAAGACAATTTTAAGTCAGTCCTGTCCTCATTACAATATATTCTGTGATTGGTGTATTTTTATATATTAACTGTTTTATCAACTTGCAACCCATGAATAACACTCCAAACATATATTTACCAGATGTGTACAAAAGTAACTGGACAATATCTCAAAGTGTTCCACAGAGATAGAAGACTTGACTCACATTGACTTTGTGAACCTTGGGTTGGGCACCCTGGCAACTACATCCACTGGGTTCCTCATGAAGTTGTCAAATATCAATTTCTCTGAAAATAGGAATTAACACAAATGTGATCATACTAGTAATATTCTAGGTTTTTTTACATTTGTATACTTATCCTGCACAACTCCATAATGCATATTACTTGCTTGTTCTTGACAGAGAAAAGATCTGTGTGAGAGGTCTTTGCTTGAAGAAGTTGTTCCAACCAGCTGAGAGGCCAATCCTATCACGCAGCTGGGGCACGGGTGGCCCAGTCATCTAAGGCACCGCGATTCGCTGTGCAGAGTTGCGTCCCTTGGGCACGCCAGAAACCTTTGATTGTGGGTTCGAATCCCGGTTCGCCCCGATTATGTTTCTAGGTTTGTCAGCACCATACCCGTGCTTGTGGGTTTCACCGAAGTGGTAAACGTCTGAGACCTGCATCACTTCGGGCTTTCCTCCCACATTAAGCTGACACGCCGTGATATAACTGGAATACTGTTAAAAGCGGCGTAAAACTCAACTCACTCACTATCACGCAGTCTCATGTGACCAAAGGAGGTGAAGTCACGGGTCCTCACATTACTCTTGGAGTCAAAAACATCGGAAGGCATTGTGGGGAGGTAGATCTGCGCTGGGTGGGTCCCTTTAGACGCAGTAATGCAGGATAAGTATACAAATATAAAAAATATCTAGGATTTTACAATTTTTTTTACTTATCCTGCATTACTCCTTAATGCATCCTTATCAGACGGAACCGGAGGAGGGCATACCTTCAGATGTGGACTTTCATCTTTTATTTCCAGACTCTTTGGCTGTGTGGTTGGCTTCGGGTGACCACTCCATGTATGGGAACCTGCAATTCCCTAAGCCTGTCCGTCCTCGGCTGTGTGGTCGGCGTCATGTATGGAAAAACTCCGTTTCCCTCGGCCCGTCCTCAGCTGTATGGTCGGCCTGGATGACCATTACATGGAAGGGAAGAGTCAGGTATGCATTGTGTCCTGGTACTGCGCAGCCTGACTATAACCCTCAGTTAGGTCTAGACTGGAGTACCGAGCCGTATGCAAGTGGGGCATGAACCTTCTAGTCCCGGGCATATGCCAGGGGAGGTCAAAGGCCAGCTCTGGACTTGGAGGCAAGGTCAGTGATGTGTAGTAGTGGTGGCCTGTTGGGCACGGCGTTCCTTGGATCGTCTGATGTAGCAACAGCGCGCTCTAACCGGATATAGACGGAGCTCTAGTTCATCTTCCCCGCCCACAATCGAAGATAGGGGAGGGATGAGGAACGATCTATCTGGCTGTCATGGGAATTGATTCTTGGCGAAGAAGTCATAGCACAGTCCAAGATGCACAACTCCGTGTACTCTATGCTCAAAGTGGACGCGCGTGACATCCAAGGCGTGTAGCTTACTGACACAGGCTGCTGTGGCGAGCGCCAGTAGGTAGACCATTCTTTTTGTCAGATTGTAGAATGACGTTGCTTCGAGGGCTCGAAGGGCATGTCTCTCTGCGAGGTGTGAATGATATTCACGACCCAAGCTAGTGTAAGAGATTTCGCCTTTTGGTATTCCAGCCTGAATGAAAAGAGCAGAGCCTGTAGTTCCTGGATTTACATCATGCGCCAACCTTCCGGAACTGCCAGGACGGAGTTGAGTGCCACAAGGTAGGTAATGATGGTACTGCCCTTGAGCTTATGCTTGTGACGCAGATGGAGCATGAACTCGGACAGGAATTGAGGCGATGCAGATGTGGGGTCTTGTTGCTTGCCCCTGCAAAAGCTCTTGAAGGATTGCCACTTGTCATTATAGAGGCTCGTGGTGGTTGGGCGATGTGCCATTGTGATGGCCCTAGCCGCCCTGGCCGAGTAGCCTTTGGCATTCAGTGCTCTCTGTAAATGGACCAGACGTGAAGACATAGCCGTCTGGTCCTGGGTGTGGCTGTCTGCTGTGAGGGTGGATCAGCAAATTTAGCGAATCTGGAAGTGGCAGTGGATTGGCATCTGACAACTCTCTGAGGTTGACGAACCAAACCCTCGCTGGCCACCAGGGCGTGACCAAAGTCAGATCAGGGTTCCGTGTCGATCTGATCTTTTGGATGACTTTGGGAAGGAGTACAGGTGTTTTAGTCCTTTCTGGGGATGCTGAAAGTGTTGATTGCCCAAGCCAATGGATCTGGGTCTGGTGATATGTAGGTTGGGATCCGGTAGTTCTGGCTGGTGGCGAATAGGTCTATGTTGGGGAGACTGTGGTCTCGACAAACAAGAGCGAAGGCGTCTGGTAGAAGCTTCCACTCTGTGGGAGCAACTTTGCCTGGCCGAGATAGAGCATCCGCTGGGATGTTTCGGCAGCCCGGAATGTGTTGAACCTGGAACTGAATCCCCAGATGATCCACCAGGTGAAACAATCGGAACGTCTGTTGAATGAGTCATTCCTCGGTTTCGTAGGTACCATACGACAGTTATGTTGTCCGTCGAGATGGAGAGCCGGGCGTGTCTGAGGGCCTGCTTCCAGTGAGCGATGGCCAAGATAAGCGCCTCCAGTTCGAGGTTGTTGATGTGCCATAGGGGCTGATCGGCGGACCACAGCCCTGAGGCGACCTGTCCCTCCAGGTGTGCGCCCCATCCCTGCAGGGCCGCGTCTACGAATAGGCGCAGAGAGATCGTAAGCCCTGTCAAGGAGGCGCCGCCTAAGACATTTGATTCAACCGTCCACCACCGGAGATGCTGCTTGAGATGACCTGGGAGGACGAAGGATACTGATGGGTCCTGGTGCCTGAAGTAGGGAGCCAGGAACATCTGAAATGGGCACAGTTGGAGCCTTCCAACAAGTACCTTCCAACGAGTCCTGTGCTGTGGTTAGGAGGCCCAGGAGGACTTGCCATTGGTGCAGAGTGCGTGGTAGTGGAGAGCTGGAGTCAGGTGCACCTGCATGCGCTCCCATCGGTCTCTGGGTACAGAGAGGAGATCAAGGTCTGTCTGGAAGAGGCCCCCCCATGAACTGAAGGCGATTGGAGGGTGTCACCTCTGACTTCCTGAGGTTGATCTTCCACCCCAGCTGGTGAAAGAGCCGGAGTGTGAAGTCCCTGTGGCGGAGTAGAGTCACAGTGTCCTGATAATTCAGTAGGCAGTCGTCTATGTACACCTCAAACTGAATGTCCCGGCGATGAAGCGGAGGAATTTCCGGTCGTCAGGATGTATAGGGACATGTAGATAGGCGTCCTCGATATTCAGGCTGATGAGCACATCTTGTGCCTGGATCCGGGATCGCAGTAGCCTGAGTGTGGTCATCCTGAAATAATAAAATCTTCCTTGTCCAGCAGAGCCGTGATGTTGCTGCTCAGTAGCTGCTGTTGAGTAGGGGGGTAGGTGTCCACTATGGGGGACAACGTGAGTGGCGGGTCGTCTATAAGCGTCAGCTTGTACCCGTGTCGGATGGGTCCCCCCGGATCTCCAAATTCTGCCAGAATCGACTCAGTCTCCCACCTTTTGGAGTGTCGGCAACTTGGACGGCTGGGGGTGGGAGGTCCCAGTCATGTCTATCTGGCGATTCACTTATAGTCCCTGTGGTCGGTGTTACCTCCCTTGGGGTGGCCGCAGCAGGACTGGTATGCAAATGAGGACTTCCCTTTTCCTCTGCCTCTGCCTTGAAATTTTGAGGTGGAGCCCCGCACAGTAGGGTCCGCACAGATGGCCGTCTTGCTATCGACCTCTGGGAGGGGGCGGTTGCCTCCAATCTGTCCGCCAGCCAGTCTACAACTTGGTCATGGGAGTGTCGTCGTAGCATGGGATGAAGGCGCCCTCCGAGGAGTCGGACTGATAGCCACTGGAGCATCTGAGCACCTGGGAGCGGCTCCTAGATTGATGACCCTGACGATCAGACCTACTGTCATTCTGACATGATGACGTGCTTGGGGAAGCCAAGTCCACGGAGTAACGAGAAGTTGACGGCGTCTGTATAGTCGATCGACCATGCGGTGGCAGAGGCGCAGGCGTCTGTATAGGCGCTGTGAGATAGATAGGCGCCATCTGTATAGGTGCTTGAGGAGGCGCTTGTAGAGGCATCAGTAAGGGCGCCGGCATCGACGTCTGCATGGCCTGCAAGTACTGAAAGTACTGAAGGAGCGAGGCGTCTATCATTGGCGTCTGTGCGGCAGGCAGGGGTGCCTGTGGGACACCGAGCGTCTGTCCAGAGGATAGTATAGTCGCCATCTGGTAAGTGAGCGCCACCCCGGGCGTCAAGGTGGCCGCCGCCGTAAAGATAGACGCTGTAGTGATCGTCAGAGTGCTCTGGGTGGAGACTGCGACTGTGGGGTCTGACATCAAGGTTGTAGTTGAGTTCGGGGGGTAGTCATCCAAGATGGCCGATCTTGTAGGCGAGTTCTCAGAGAGGTCTGACATCCTGCGCCGGTGTTTCCTGGCCTGCTGTGTTCTGCGTTTCTTAGAAACACAGAGATTCTGACTGAAAGCTGTGGGTGAAAGCAGTAGACAGTCTTTACATCGGTGACCCTGAGTTGTACAATTAAGGCACAGTGAGTGAGTGAGTATGGTTTTACGCTGCTTTTAGCAATATTCCAGCAATATCACGGGGGGGGGACACCAGAAATCGGCTTCACACATTGTACCCATGTCGGGAATCGAACCCAGGTCTTTGGCGTGATGAGTGAACGCTTTGACCATTAGGCTACCCGACCGCCCCTTTAAGGCACAGGGGGTGGGGGATCCCACGTCGACATATTACGCCGGCACTTTGAGCAGGAGGGCATGATATCTGCAATGAAGCAGTGTAAAATCACAATGCGTCCCTACTCGATTAGGTATGCTAAAATTTGTTTATCCAGCTGTATGGGTTTATGAAACAAATATTACGACAAACGTAAGACAACATACAACAAAAACAATCAACACTTGCGAGGATACCCCAATCGTGGGGCACCAAGCAAAAAGAATATAGAACGCAAGCCAGTTCATTAACTGCAGGCCATGTAAAATATTCAAGATGGCTACTTGAAACAACAAGACACCTGGCATTATGTTTTCTTTTGAGAAAACGCCAGTAAGTGTCTCATAATGTTATGTCACATGTTTATCAAACATAGAATGTACTAGATACAAACCATAGGCACAACACAAAGACAATAAACATTAACTCAAAGAGCAAACACATGAGGGTTTGAATCAGTTTATGCTACAGCAAAAAAACAGGTCTTCACTCAGCAAGTGACAAGAGTAATGTGAGGATCCGTGACATCACTTCCTTTGGTCACGTGGGAGCTGCATGATTGGGTTGGCCTCTCAGCTGTTTGGAACAACTTCTTCAAGCAGTAATATGCAGGATAAGTAAAAAATAAACAGTCAATTAAAACAGACCTTGTTCTCTGGCAATGTGCACACAGACAAACCATGTCCATGCTTTTTGTGAATGAGAAATAAAAAAAAGACCTGACAAAACAGTTTACTTCAGGATTCAAGTGAGATTGAGATGAATAAATGATTGGTCATGTCTTCTAGCTGTATCTCTAAAGGTGGCTATCTTCATGAATGACATCATGGACAAAATGACTGCTTTGTACAACAGATCTCTGTAAGGGGTAGGACAAATCAGGGCAAGTCTTCACTGTACCAGTGTTTGACTGATACAAGCCATTAGGTTACGATGAGCCAAGCAACCAAACCATACACTGAAGCCATCCGATCCTCATGAATGGGCTGTTATGGGGAGTAGTGAGCTATATAGTGAACATGATACCTACCCATCTCACCCCAGGTGAACTTGTTGATCTGACCAGTTGTGTTGTTAAATACAGGTACCCTGGAGGGTCTGGGATGAAGGAAAAACATTTGGTGAGCAATGCATAAAAGACAAGGATACAGGATCGCAGGTAGACATCATTATGACAACTTAACATCGTTATGCTGCACATCAGCCCATTGGGATCGATGACATGCATCAACCAAGTCCGCGAGCCTGATCAACCGATCCCGTTAGTTTCCTCTTACAACAAGCATAGTCACGATTTGAGAAGTATTTCAATGACAAGCATGTTTAAGGAAAGCCCAAACTGATGCAGGTCTTGGAGACATTTACGACTTTGGTGATCCCAGGGGTCATGATAAATCTAGAAAGATGATCAGGGACATCTGGGATTCAAACCAGCAAGCATATATTATTTCTGAAAGTACCAAAGGACACAACTCTGCACAGCGAATTGCATGGTGTAGATGACTGCGCCTGGGCCCCGGCCTCCGACAACAAGAGAAGCATGTACATTTGCAGTACATGAGTGAATGTTGTTTATACCGCAGTCAGCAATATTCCAGCTACATCACACTGACATGTTAATAATCTGGACCAGGTCGTGGTTTTATAGAACTATGTCACACAGTTAGCAATGTCACACACTGTAACATCCCAACAAACATCAGTTAATGAGGGCCTACTCTGCCCGGAATCTCCACTTGGGTTGTGCAATTAGTGGGGTGAACAAATGATTGAAATAATAAATACCACACAAGGTGCTCAGCAATAGTAAAAATTATCCAAGGTGTACATTAGGGCATCCAAGCAATGCAGCCATTGTTGCTATATGATACCCATTTTAGTTTTTTCTTATAGCATTTGGTGCAGCGAAGTAAACTGCTCTGGCTATAGCACAGGGTATAACCTTGCTACAACATTGTACTAAGGGGAGTAACTCACTTGGTTGTACCAGTATACCAGGCTACCGCGATCATGAGGTTGGTGGCTATATCACAGGGTATTACATCAGCAGTACAGTGAGCGTAGCCATGCATGATTCGGAGGACACCTTTCCCAATCTGAAGAGGAGGCAAAAAAATATGTGGGCTTCATTAGGATGATACCATGTTATTACATGGTTGTTGTCAATTAGTCTTGGTATAGGTTAAGTTTGTTGTCAAAGGAGATGGTCACTGAGAACAATCAAGTTTTACTACCATTTAGACGTTTCTGGACATCTTCTACTTCCTACTAGTGGCCTAAAAACTACTACCCATCAATGACATCACAAACTCATGACTGCAGAAATCGATGAATAGTTTTTAAACAGAGAAAACAGTGCATGCATGGCTAAATTGCAAATGTATGAAAAATTTATGCCATCAGTTACAGGCATTGAACTGCATCCCACTTGACAGATGCAATAACTTCCTATTTTCAATGACTGTGAGGAAAGCAGTAAAAACTTACTGCTGCAAGCAAACCGGTGGGTCCATTGAAGTTGTCCACCCAGCCCTGAAAGACACAAGTTGAATTTCAAACTACAGCTTGGTTGCAAAAGCTGAGAATATGCACATAAATCAATTGTACACCGCTAATATAACAGCATTGTAGCATAGATCATCTTGGTAATAACTTTAAAAGACTAAGATAATTTTACAGACAATTATTGATTGGAATTGGAACAAAAGCCACAGATCCAAAGTCCAAGATTATTAAAATTTCTGTTTGTGCAGGATATTAAAGGTCCATATAAATATAAACACTAAAATCTACTCCAAATGATGCCCAGGCAATTTCAGACTTATACATCTAAAATGTTTGGGCACAGACTGCAAAAAAAATGTCATCGATGACTAAGAACCTGCGATAGATATTTCAAATATGGCTACCAATGCAGCCATATTCAACATGTTTAGAACGAACTGTTCACTAGAAAATTGTAAATGTTACAATATATTGTATATTCATAAATATTGATCCCATCTCACAGTGTGCATTTCCCTTTCTTTCTCGATCCCTGTGTGGAAACAATCCATGAACATGTTTCCAGCATTTAAAAACAAGGCACCCCAACACTTTCCAGCCGTCTCCATGACTACCACCACCCACAAAAGGCTGTACTCTAGCTAGCTTCCTGCCTAATTGATCACATGACGTCCCAAGCTTACTTTTTCTCTTTCGAATCGAAAAGGCTTGTGTAATCATGAGAGATTGGATAAGTTTTTATAAATATATATTTTATTGTAAAATTTACAAATTTTTATAACTTATCCTTACACTGTGCATTTATCCTACAATTGGTGGTGGGGTGCAGGTACCCAAGCCTGTAGATAAGGCCTTATCCGTGAGATTTACAAGAGGAAGCCAGTTCTAAACCATGATCCGATCTAATGATCGTAACATCGTTCAGATTTATAAAAATACTTGTCTATGGGTTGCTTCTGAAATTTTTTCAAAGATGAACCGTTTCCAGTGATGGATGTAGCTGGCTTGGGTGTGGCTGAAGTAGTAGGTCTGTCCGTAGAGGTAGACGATGTTTTTATCCGCAATGTTAATGAGTTTGGTGAACCAACTTCTTGGTGGCCAGAAGGGCGCAACCAAAAGTAGATGAACTCGTTTGATGTCTGAAATCTTTACAACACCTGAAGTAGAAAGCCTGGCGGAGGATATGCATAAGCGTGCAGTTCTTCCCAAGAGATGGCGAGCACATTGTGATCCCATGCTTATGGGTCCGGCATGGGGGAGACAAACCTCGGTAGTTTAGTGTTGTATCCGGTCGCAAATAGATCAACTTCTGGCATCGGAAAGAGCTGATCAATCCATAGAAACATGTCCAGATGGAACTGCCACTCCATCTGCCTATGTCGTCAGGCTGCAGCAGTACAACCATACAATCATGCACAACAACCTCTAAAGCGCACCAAATGGCTCGCATTAGGTCAGTCTGTTCTGATTCCAGAATAAGCGGGTTTGAAATGCAGTCACGGATGGAATACTGGAATCTTGCTGAACATGTGGTCAAAGCTCCACAAACTCAAAACCAATCATGCAACAATTCATTGTGAACTGTTTTAGGGCTGGGACGGGCAGCTCGGGTACTCGGATCGGGTGGGTACTGAGTAGGACCCGGGTATTCACAGGACTACCCGGACCCGTGGTTAGTCACATGATATATTGTTTAATGACAAAAGTTATCTTGAATTTCATGGTAACACTACAAGTCACTAATGTTCACATTTTTTTCTGACTATGCACACATTCCTTGTGACTTTCATATGTTTGAATAAAGATAAAGCTTCAGTCAAATTCAGTGTATGCATGACCAGATCGTTCTAAATGTGTATCTAAGTCCCGATCGTACATTTTGTACCTATATCTTCAGACCTACAGTAGGTAGCTGGGTAGGGTAGGGTAAATGGGGGTTGCATACCCTGCTTCTAACTTTGGACTTGCCCTAGCCCTAAACTGTATGTCAGACAAACAAAGTGGTGTCCCGAGTTCCCAAGAAATATCATGCACATGCAACCAGTTCCCTGTAGAATGATTCATGTGACCAGTGATTTCACCATGTGATCTTCAAGATATTTATGCATGTAAATAAGTCTTGAAAGCGTAAAGGATCGTCTAATCTCTGCCATATGTTCTGGTAAAAGGTTGATGAACAATCCTGTCGATCCTCACTTTCTCGACAATAATATAAGGATAGAAGGATAACATTCCTATTCCTGATCCTAATCGTCAATCATTCAATGATCCTCCTGGTACAGATACATCAGAGGATAATATAAACTGCAATAACATAAGCCGGGTGTGTTTAGCCGTAGGTGTAAATAATCATGGCTGTGAAGGATGATCCCAGGACGTGGGCAGCCCGTGACAACCCTGTCAATCCCCTTATCGATCAATCCTACTGTGATGACCTTCCCTTTCCAGACGAGGCTGTCGATCCTGAGACCGGCGATGATCCCACTAATCTCCGCCGATCCTTATGCTGAGGGTTCAGCAAATGCGTTTGTCAATCCCCTGTCTGATCGTCTTTTCCTTGTCGATTGTCCTGGTAATGCTCATGTCACTATCTCATTGAGCTGGTTGATGATCCCGATCTCTATGGTATCACAAGTCATTATCTCAATAAGACGCCGTGGATGTGATTGTGGCAGGCGTATTAATTTTCAGGACTACCAATCATAGGGGACTCTCTAATCTTTAACATATGTCAACCATCAGAAAAGAGTCCTTCTATCACAGCGCTCAAGGAAATCCTATCCATTAACTTCATTGACCAAGGGAGAGGACGACAATCCCAATCCCTACTGTTGTATCATAGACGATCCTCAGGATTCGAATGTCTGGAATGAGAATGTCCTGGCTTCTCCAATCTTTTCTGTAAGACGAGTGAGGAGGGTTGCATGGATCCCAATCTTGGCTGTGCCTGCGATCCTCTGACAATCGTGGAGGGGTAAGTTGACCCCAATCAATGTCGAATCTCCTGCGATCATCCAATCCCCATGAAAGAGAGGCAAACATTGATCCTTATTCCAGTTGAGAGGATCATAGCTCAGTTGATCCGCCAAATTCGATGATAGTGAAGAAGGACTACTCATAGCTGAAGCACAAGAAACCCTTTCAGGATTCTTCAGATCACCACAGATGATCCTCCGCCCCTATGTCAAACGAAGGGAGCATTGAAATCAGTAGAGATGAATCCTGAATCTGATGATAATCTTCAGCCGTTGGAATGGTAGCTGTCTTTGTTTAATCAATGACGACGTACGTCAGATGAAACTCTAGGGAGAATGGTCATGAGGAAGGAGTCCGATTCATTGATTTCATCTAAAACTGGCACAGGTGTAGTAGATGATTGTTCGCTTTAGAAGGAGGGGCACCTGATCTAACCTCCATAAGCATGGTCTCTTAGGTTTCTTGGCAGATGATGGTCCATGTTCCGCAAGATGTAGACTTAGAACGTCTATAACTGTCACGTTTCTCACATTTACGTCTATAGGTAGTAAAGTCTGCATCAGTGAGGTCCTTTCACATGCTGCCTCTGTCTGACATCGTGCAATGGCCACAGCAAACACAGCATCTTGAGGACGCTCTTGTGCAGAAAAGTTCTGTTTGCACTATCACATACCTAGCATTTCTTGCTAACAACGTAAGACCCACTTGGATGACTTTAAAAAAAAGAATGAAAATATATATAATTCTCCTCAAATAAAATCCCTGTCTCCACACAAGAGTGATAAGAAAGAGAAAGAGTAAACTGGGGATGTCATGAGACCAGGCAGCACAAGATTCATGCTTTGCATGGACCACTATTGGCGATGGTAACCATGGCTACGGCTGGGATGTGTTTGGGTGAGGTGTTTTGTTAAGCTGGAAACTTTTAGGATAGTTTTCATCCAAGGATTGAAGAAGGATGAAATGCATAGTGTGAGATAGGGAAAATTTAATAAATAGTGCTGCTTCTCGCTTATTGTAACATAGACATGTATTGCTGTTGTGAGCTTATATCATGCATATGTGACCTGTGCTTGGTTAGTAAATTCTCAATAGCTTGAGACATTATCTGGAGCCCTGTAACAGAATTGTGACGTAATGATTTCCTTCTACCTCTAACGCAGCTTACAGCTTTGCTGCAGCCCCTTGCTTAAAGTAACCCCTCCAACTGAACATCACTTACTGGGAGTGGTTCCTTGTAGGTGGCACCCACTATGGACGGGCGGACGATGGCCACAGGGAGCTGACCACATCCCTCAACCAGGAGGAACTCGGCCATGGCCTTGGTGTAGGTGTAGGTGTTGGGGCGGGGACCCACAAGCTTCTTGGTGAGGACATTCAGTGCAGCATTGTCCATCCATCTGTACAACAGTCAGTGTGTGAAAGGTGGGGATATCTCATATTTCCTGAGATGAGTTTTTTTTAAATTTTTGGTTTACAGATTATTATTTTTTTATGTTTTTTTGTAAGTGACATGGTAGGTAGGTGAAAATAATTTAATTTATTTTTTCCAGATTATAATTTTGACCTTTGTTATGCATGGTAATCTGAATATGTTGCATGATCAACCATCTAAGCTGAGCTTTTCTAGTTTATCTAACGTCCTAAAGTTTCATACTGCTTTTACACAGATTGGATTTTTTTTAAATCTTTATTTTAGCAGTGTCTGTATACAGTGTTATATGGCAGTGTATTGTTAAACAATGATTGTATTATCTGTATTATAATAACTGTATTATTACATTGCTTCTGTTTAGATTCAGTAAATGCTCACTGCATTGTATGTTGACAATGATTAGCTGTCAGGAATGTACTTTTGTAGTACTATTTAATGTAAGCAGTGGTGAGAAAGTTATTATTTTTTTATGCTAGAATTATCCGTTAATTTCCTCAATAGCATGGGTGTTTGTCAAGCATTATAGAAACTTGTGGAATATTCCGTGATGTCCATGTGACACTGGGCTGGTCTTGCACTGTGAAGAGGTGAGGTGAAATGGGGTTTAACATCGCGTCCAAGATTATTGCACTTATATAGCGACGTGCATGTACGTGTGTGTGTGTCTGTGTGGCTGCTTGTACTAGTCCGGACTGATGCTGATTTATAGTGCTAGCTAACTGAGATGCCATGCCGCAGTTTAACATGAATACCCCACTCAGACACAGTATACTGACTCCGAGCCGACCAGTCCTTGTTTTAGCCCCTTAATGCTGAGCGCCAGAGAGGGTAACAACAAGTACCATCTTTAAACGTCTTTTGGTATGACGTGGTCGGGGATCGAACCCACAACCTTCCGCTCTCCGGGCGGAGGCTTTACCACTAGACCACGGAGGCGGTCTGCACTGTGAAGAAAGTGCTGGAAGCTGGTTAGACTATTTAAGTGTCATCTGACATTGCATCAAGACCAGGAGTTGTGTGAAGATAGCTTTTCACCCAGGATTCCCAGCCTAGGCCTATCTCGGTGCTTGACCACTGTTGCGGATAGGTAAATATTATTATGACTGAACTTTTTGCTATCACCACTGACATCATATTTTGTATTTGATACTGCAATTAAATATTGTACTACCACTCTATTGATTACTGACATTGTAATTGCTGTGCAGTAATTTGTATTAGTTTGTAAACCTAGTTAATTGTGTTATACAATTGTTGATTGTATACCATTTGTTGATTTTTTTTTGGGTTTCACACTAAATGTTTTTACATACAGATTTCTGGGTTAACTAATTGTTTCAATTTTGGTATCAACGCGTAACAACAGATAAACTGAAGATTATTGCCATAGGCAATTCAGGAACCTAACCGAAGACATTAGAGAAGTTTGACACAGACAGGGAAAATTGAATAGCAAGAGTTAGTGGTTGAATAATGATCTATACCAAAGTCAACAATATTTCAGTGTTACATAATCTGAGTCTGGGCCATGAGTGGTTCACAGCATGAGAAAGCATCAACATGCGCATCACCATTGGGAAAGAACAAGTAGAACACCACATAATCAGCCAGGTCACAATTTGTAGCTCTCAATAGGCGGTATTTGAAAAATAATCAGTTGAAGAATCTGCCGATCTTAAGAAACGATATATAAGTTGAAAAAATCATAACTGAAATGTGCTATTTTTTTCATTAAACCAAATACACACTACCGTGTTCACAGAACTATGTATACAATGTATTAAAACTGTTAAACTGACAAACCAGATCCAGATAACATTTTCCAAATAAATAATTCACTTTTATTTCTGTTCTAGCCTACCAACCATGACATTTCACCAAAAAATCCCTGTCAAGAAAAAAAAGAGTCATGCCTCAGTCAACTTGTACGACAAGAAAAAGATACTGATGACCTATTTAAATCTGGAATCAACACAGGGGTTGTGTAACTGGAATATTTGCATACGTCATTTCTTGGTTGTTTAATGATGCACCCTAAGACAATGCAATGATTGATATGATGAACAAAGACCCACGTCATCAGGGTACAATGACACACCATCAACCAAGTCACCGAGTCTGATCTACTGAGTCACCTCTTATGTTGATGAGCAAGGGTATCCATACGGGACTTACTCAACAGCTTCCACCAGTTTCTGTGGGTGCAGTGGTGGTTCATACACCTGCTCAGCAACAGTCTCCTTATCACAGTTAGCATAGGCAGTCGACACATGGATCACAGCCTGCAACAACAACAACACAGGCTATGTCATGGGTTTCAGCAATAACAAGCAGGTGTCATTTGTTATTTGATCCACAGGTCATGACAACCTGTTCAAGGTGATGTTTTAACCCTCCTAGTGGGTGAGTTTAGCTTAACATTACTTGGAACAGTATATCAGTCATATCACAGCAAGTATCAGCTTAATGTAAGATTTGTTTGTTTGTTCGTTGTTTAATGCCGCACTCAGCAATATTCCAGCTATATGACGGCTGTCTGTAAATAATCGAGTCTGGGCCAGACAATCCAGTGATTGACATCGATCTGTACAATTGGGATACAATGACATATATCAACCAAGTCAGCGACCCTGACCACCCGATCCTGTTAGTCGCCTCTTAGGTAAAGCATAGTCGCCTGTTATGGCAAGCATGGGTTGCTGAAGACCTATTCTAACCTGGATCTTCAAGGGTCACTTTATGCAAGAGGAATCCATCTATACAATTGGGATACAATGACATATATCAACCAAGTCAGCGACCCTGACCACCCGATCCTGTTAGTCGCCTCTTACGTCAAGCATAGTGGCCTGTTATGGCAAGCATGGGTTGCTGAAGACCTATTCTAACCTGGATCTTCAAGGGTCGCTTTATGCAAGAGGAAAGTCAAAACTGATGCAGGTCATAAACATGGAACACCTTTACAACAGAGGATCAGATAACACTGGCACAATCAAAGGAGGCATGCTCTATATACATGATATAGCAACGTGCTTGCATGTTTGTGTGTATGGCAACTAACACTAATCTGGACATATGCCGGTTTTATAGAGCTAGCCCACTGAGATATCGTACACCCTGAGACATGTTTTATACAGAATTTCTTACTTACAGTACAAAGGTATTCATCTTTTATTCCAATCTATTTGTGAGGAAACTTACATCTAGCTTGTCAATCTTGTGACAGAGTTCTAACAACCTCTTCACTCCTATAACATTCATCTGTACTGATAATCTGAAACAGAAGACAGGTATGACATTCATCTGTACTGATAATCTGAAACAATAGGCGGGTATAACATTCATCTGTACTGACAGTCTGAAACAATAGGTGGGTATAACATTCATCTGTACTGACAGTCTGAAACAATAGGTGGGTATAACATTCATCTGTACTGACAGTCTGAAACAATAGGCGGGTATAACATTCATCTGTACTGACAGTCTGAAACAATAGGTGGGTATAACATTCATCTGTACTGACAGTCAGAAACAATAGGCGGGTATAACAGTCATCTGCACTGATAGTCTGAAACAATAGTGCGTGTTGTGTCTTGTGGCAAACAGGTCAACATTTGGGTGCCCCAACTGTTGGCACAGTAGACAGAAGGACTCTGTGTGCAGCTTCCACTCCGGGGGGGTAATGGGCGCTCCAGCCTTGATAGTGCATCGACAAGGACATTTCTGCACCCACAATTTGTCTCGCTGTGGCCTCCAATGGAATCCTACCTGTCAGGTGATAACAAGGGAACGCCTGGCTCAAAAGGGAGCCTGCTTGTTGATGAACTTGACGACCATTGTGTTGCTGTTGAGGTGTCGATGGTGATAGCACGCTTTGAACTCTGTCAAGGCATTCGATGGCATAAGCCACCAGTCGAGGTAATGGTCTGACAACGTGACTTAGCAGCACTTGTCATTGAAGAAAGGATTGAGGGCCTGCTGGTGCCATCTAGACATATGTAAGTGACAAAGGAGGAGGAGGGTGGAAAGGAGAGTTCCTAGTTGTGCCTATCCCCTGGAAAGTCACTTCTTCAAGCCTCTCAGGTAGGTGCGACCATTTTTGCCTCGAAAAGAATCCTTTTTGTGTCTCTTCTTAGCCCATTTGGTGTCGATCTTCTATTCCCTTGACTTGTTCCACCACCAGGGCTATGCCGTTATACAGAGGGTTGATGCAGTCCAAGGTTGATTAACCAAAGACGCCTTGATACGAGGATCCCTAGAAAAGGCAGATAGGTCGCTCTGTCTCCTGAAGAAGGTCAGCGAGGATAAGGTATGGAGCATGTGGTCCCTTAGAAAACCAAGATTGGTACAGCTTCCAAGACAACACCGACTATAACTGTGGTTTTCATCGCCCATGGCTGCAAGGGACGATGCTAACATGGAAAAATGGGGAAGAGTCCTCCTCCATCCAGTGTCTAGGGATGGGATCTGCGAGTCAGAAATCTTGTAGAGCCTGTCATTCTTGACAAGTCATTGTCAAGGGAGGCCACCTTGTGTGCAGAGCTCTGGCCATGTACTGGTTGCCTCTTAGAATGTGGTGGCCGGAACAAAGTGTTATGGGATTCCAGGTTGATAAAGTCCCTATCAAAGGTTACCAGAGCCTTCTGGATAAAAGGATCTGGTGGCAGAGTCATGGAGCATGTAGTTGTTTCCTCTTATTGACAACTCTGGTATAAGTGAGATAGACTGTATTACAGACGGAAGTGCACTGGGCACACATTCAGGAGGGAAGACTCAGTGTTAAACAATCTGGGCAGTGGAGATGTGGATCCTTAGCCAATTTCTTGCTGTTACATAAACCACACTTGGAAACAAACATCTGTAACATGGGACAACCCAAAAACATCAAAAAAGCCCCTTCACGTCTAGTTATTTGAACTGTGATGAGATGTCAGAGTGAAATTTACAAGTGAGTAAAAACACTCATATTTTGTATATTCTGTGTTGCAAGTAAGTTTCATTACTCGATAATATGAAGGATATATGCAACAAAAGTAAAATAACACTCATATCAAACATGAATCACGCCGTTGATAACAACCATTCGCATCTTCCGCCAGCAGGCAAAATGGTGGCCAACACAAAGCATGGCCCGAGGTGGAGGCATGGATTTCTTACTTCTATGTGTTGAAAACGCTGAATAACCCAGTCCATTGAGATGAAGAGGATGGATAACACACCAACTACACTAAAAAAATCAACCAGCAAAGGACTGAATCTTAAAAACAGGAAAGATCTCGTCTCTCACATCCTGCTTAGTTAGCAGGAAGAAAATAATGACATATAGGGGCATGTTTCCGACTCCAAATGTTGCGAGGGTCATGGAGGTGATGTTAGGCAATAGAGTTACTGAAAACGCAGATAGAATTCCATTCAGGAATTTGGTAGAAAAAGCATTGTGCAATATGCAATGCAAGACAAGTTAAAAATATACAAATACGAAATGAGAATGATGTCATGTGAGAAATTATTCAATGGCTCAAAATGTTATCTGTTACTTACTTCATTTCTTCATCAAACTTGACTGTGGCAGCTGAGTGAAAGACGACTGATACATCACTACACACTTTTCTTTCGTCTTCCTCACAGATTCCAAAATTGGGTTCCATTATGTCTCCTTCCACTGCGATGACCTTTGATGCAAAGTCTGGAGTGACTGTCTTCACCTTGTTAAATAACTGCAAGGGAAAAACACTATCAACTTCAAGTTCAATAAAAAGAAAGGGGGCGGTAGGGTATCAATGATCATAACTTTCTGGCACACACAGGGATAGACACAACCACTAGTATATTAGTCCAAAGTAGGTAACAATCTAGAAGAACTAGTTGTTTTATCCCCAAATCTAGTTATTTTATGTAACCACCAGTGGGGACTAGTTGGATATCCCATGACCAAATGTGTCAACCCTGATGACACATAATTACTAACTGTGCAAGAGACAAATGGCACTAGGACATTTTCATAATTTGATTATTTTTATCGAAAATATTTCAATATTAGCACCAAATTGAAAAAAATATAAGACATTTTTCAGTCCATGTCTCAGAAAAGGAACAGATCTGAAACACTGCAGAAGGGATACAACTCTGCAGAGTGCTTTAGGCAAATGTGCCATCCATGCCCCTGCCACAGAGATTTATATCAAGGTTTCAAAATCCTTGTATTCGAGAGTGGCATGGTCAAAACCACAAACAAATGGTTAAGATAACTTCCCGGTACTTGAAGGGCACACTTAGAAAACTTTTAATGAAAATGTGCGTGATATGAAGTCAGTGATAATTGAAAATTTTACATTAAATTGTATATTTATATACTTATCTTATCTCACACTATGCATTTCTCCTTCTTTCAATTGTGGCGTGGAAAGTTTCCAGCTTCTAGGCAAAGGAGTTTACTGACTATAAAAGTCCAGTTTCCACCCTTGCCGAACTAGGCTGGAATTCCAGAGTTATATTTTGACTAGACTAATGGGTCTATGCATGCTCTAATCAAAATCAGGATTTGCTAAGCAAGTGCACCGTCATCTAAGTGTCGACAGATCTTTTCATGTTTTTAAATGAAGGTGTTGAAGTGATTTGATGTACTTAGTGATGTAAGGCCCATTTTACTATAATATAGTGCTTGATTATCAATCTGATTGGTCAGGAAGAATGACACAGAAGGGACATAACTCATAACAGCCAGTGGTGGCACTACAATCGAGCCAAGAAATTCCCGCCTAGTTTTGGTAGGGTGGAACGACTTTTATAGTCAGTTATCGCCTTTGCCTCCGGAAGATCGGGATGGTTGGATGGGCATATAGCATGTGAGATAGGATAAGTACATAAATATACAATTTAATGTAAAAGTTTCAATTTTTTAAACTTATCCTATCTCACACCATGCTTTTATCCGGTTGGATGGTGGGGTGCAGATAACCATAGCCTGTAGGGAACCTATTCAACCTATTCAACCATGACTACAACCATGTGATGTACACGAGGAAGCTGGTTCTAAACAATGCTTCAACAACAAGATGCTACACATTTTCATGTCAAGAGACATGAATTCGTGAGTGGTTAAGACACAACAAAAAGTCATAAGAACCCCTTTACATTACTGGGATCGCATAGTTTTGAAGTAGGGAACCTATTCAACCATGACTTGTAACCAATTCAGAATGGGTCTCTGGTCAATTAGTTCTACAAGACAAACCAACACATACGCTCCAGGATGTAAGGTTAGTCTGCTTGGCATCTCTTTTTACACATGGTAAAAGCTATCAAACACAACTGCAGTGAATGAAGCAAGATGAGAAGAGGAAAGAATGACAATATCCATAAGAGGATTTTCAAACCAATACTAAGACATCCCATGCTCAAGGCAGAAGCGAACAGGCTTGAGATACCGCCAAAATGGTTGCTGTTTGCATCCTCCAATGGGTTCTTATTCTGGGAATTTTAGTTCTAAAAAATAATAAACAGGGGAAGGACCTTGTACAAAATATGGTGTATGCGTCTGCTGCAGAGGGTACAGTGCCATCAGCTGTTGTGCCAGGACCAAAGGATGTAACTGGCCTTGAACATTGGTGACTGAGATGTCACGTAGATAGTGGGAAGCAAAAACTGTCAGACTTCCAAAAGTAACCCTCCATTATGTTGGATACTGAGCAGTTGCTGTGCAGCGCCATCGTGGAAACAACTGCTCTAGTCTCATAAGGAGGCTGGACAAATCAACAAGTGTAGGCAAAAGGAAATCACGGTACCAGTGAGTGTTCGTGCTGACGCTATCAGACCCAGCAGCTGCTGCCATTGGCGAAGAGGCAAAGGTTGTTTGATTGCCAACATCACTAAAAATTGTATCTTTGACCATCTGTCCAGGGGTGTTCAACATGTTGCCCAACTCAGTTTTGAAGAGCGCTGCTATAAACTGCAGATATTGAGTGGGAGTTGTCTCAGATTTCACTACGTTGACGAGCCACCCTTGCTGTTGAAATAGCCTCTGCGTGAACTGTAGATGCTTCACGGTCTGTGTGGGCTTGAATGCAGTCGTCGATATAGGCTTCAACTTTGCAATACGGGTGAGTTCCTTCCATTGGTAGTGAAGGCCTTTGAAAATTAACCAGAGGTAATGGCGGTGCTCCTGACGGATAGGAACGTCTCAAAGGTCCAGACTGACCATGTAGTCACCGGCTCACACATAGTAGCGTGATGGAAATAATGCAAAAATGAGGCGGATCTTCAAGGTACCGCGTGTTGCTTCATCTTGAAGATCATCCAAAGCTTGTCGCTGTCTTTCCTCGGGACCAGGAAAATCGGCAAGTAAAACCACGGGGTATCTGGACTGGGACCTAGACAATCTATGACTTGTTTGGAGATCAACGTTTTTTCTTGCACAGGCGGAAGTTGACTGGTCGGATAATCCTTCTGTAATGACGTAGACGTGTAAGAGGAGTCCTGGATAACAGCAGCCTGTAACCTTCCTTGAGAAGATGAGAGATGAAGGGGTCAGCCAGCACTGCCCAGTTCCCTGCAAAAATACCAAGAGCGGGAATCTGGATATGCCCTTTATCGATAACAATCTACATAATGCCCAGGGTAGAAACGCATGTGCTTATATCGATCCCTAGGGGAGAGGTATCGATGCCTATCCCAGCTGGAATGTCGATCCCTTGAGTCACTATATCGATGTCGATCAGATGAGTATCGAGATGAAAGTCGTTGCGAATCTTATTCTGACGGTAGAGACCTATCCATGTGTCAAGAGAGATCCGAATGGTGACGGCTGTGAGATTGCCCTCGGCTTGACCTTAAATGTAGTAGTGAGCCAAAGGTCGATAATGATATGAAGAGTTGCATCGACATTCTTCATCAGTGCGATGTTGATCTTTTCGATATTGGTTATCTTTCTGCAACCGCTTAGACTGCTTGGATCTATGTCACTCTTGATATGGATGTAATTGATTGGTCTCGGCACTCTCGGCTCTTCCGTCCTTGTGGTGAGAGGCGGAAGAGCAGGATACATTGAATGTATTCTAGTACTGCAGATAATGATGAGGAAGTGCCGAGAAAACGATCTAGTTGTACAGCCGATACAGATGTAGTTGTGCTGCAGATAATAATCTAGTCGTGTTCCAGATATTGATGTAGTTGTAGGACTAAACTCTCAGAAAAAAAGAATCCCTATGTTCAAAAAGAATGATGTGGCAGGTTATGTCAGGTGATTACAATGTGACCCATTTGTTTAGGTGGTGACAATGGTGATACTGGGGTGTGTTCACATGTTATGTTTTTTGAAGCTGGAAATTTTGTTCTCAGGCATTTCCACGCCTCCATCAAAAGAAGAAGGAGAAATTAATAGTGTGAGATAGCATAAGTTTGAAAGTATGTACTTATGCACACGCACACATGTGAAACATATAAACATACTTAATGGACAGTACATATTATTAAGTAGGAAGGGGAGAAACCCTTTTTTAATTATCATGATTATCCAGCTCATGGTCTCATGATATTCACTGAGCACACTTAAATTCCAAAGGACTCATGAGTGCCCTATGTCACACTTGAAAGAAAATACATTCCTTCCCCTGGATGTGCAGTATGTGTTCAGTGTATATGCCAACCTTTGAGTTGATGAGTCCTTCCAGACGTTGAGCGACAGACTGCCCTCTCTTGGGACGGATGAGGACATAGCAGCACCGTATCCCAGGACACGCACGGAGCAGCTTCTCAAGCAGAACTTTCCCCATGAATCCGGTCACCCCAGTGATGAAGAGACTCCGCCCATCGTAGAACTCAGCAATGGACGGGATACCAGCCATGGTTATATATCAAAGGCTGTGTAGGGCAGGTGAATGTCTTCAAGCAGGAAACAGGGTTGTCACCAAGTCTGAAATAGAAAAGGGGTGTTTAATATTAAGGAGGGTTCCAGCCTTTTTCAAAGAACAGTCCAGAGGAATAGTATAAACCTTTTTTCACTGGTCCTGAGAGTTTTTAAACTTTCTATCAGTTTTATTCAGTTCCGATTTGAGGCAAAACTAAATCATTGAGAACTTGTTCAGAATTATAGCCCTTAAATGCTCTAGTCAATATGGACTAGATTTTCAGTTGTCCTCAGCACAAGTTATCTGTCTCTGTCTTGCTGACTAGCGAAAATTTTGAAGGCTGGGGATGTGACAAGGACGTTTTGACTTTCATGCTTAATTTTGAACGCTGATTCATTTAGCATGAGTAATGTCAACAGGCCTGACTAGCTAGATGTTTAGATATTAACATGATAAACAGTGCTCAAATTAGTACATAAGTCAAGGGGTTCTTGTTATAACTAAACTGTCAAAAGTTGAAGATTTAGGGGGTCGTTAGATTCAAATAGTAGCAAACATCAAGGTACCTTGTGCACAGACAATCACCAAGCTATGAAAAACCATCTGCCCCGAGTGAATGAACATGATGAAAGTCCCCTGCCCCTGCCTTTGTTGAGCTTGGAGTAGAGTGTTCTATATTCTATGCAATGTGACTTTATGAAATTTAGGCACATCTCTGAACATAGGTTAGGCAAGTTTGGCTACTGCTCTGATAACATAGTTTCATAGATTTATGACTCATGAACAATCTTTGACATCACACTATATTGTTCTCAAGCAATGTAATCGCTAAAACTGGCTAATCAGCATTAATAATTGTTGAAATAAATGTTGTTTTTTGTTTGACTAATGTCGCATAAAGCCCTGCAACATCATTATGACTGTGAAAATAATCAAGTCTAGGCCAGACCATCCAGTGATTGAAACTATGTGAGTTAAATTAAAATTAAGCGTCGCATCAGCATTATTTCAGCCATATAGCGATGAAACTATGTACAATGATCCATGCCGTCAGGGAACAATGAAATGCAAGTTACTAAGTCGCTTAGTCTGACCAACCGATCCATTTAGTCACCTCTAACGACCAGCAAAGGTTGCTGGAGACCTATTCGAACCTAGAATCCCTAGGGGGCAAAATTCATATCTGCAAATGTCAGTAATTACACTCACTCTTTCAAACCCTATAGTTCATTAAATACATCACAATTACCATGATTACCATTGATTACCCTTCTCATGCCATTCTACAGCAACTTAACTATCATTACTTTGCCAGTTGTATGTGTTCCATATTTAGAAATAATTAATAATAAGAATAAAAACATTTACATTCTATAACAGCCCTGAGAGCATCAGCCTGGGAAGTGTAGCTTACATTATTTATATTGTTATGATGTGTAACATGTGCAGTGACTCATGATATACACACAGGATGCAAATATCCTACTTCAACGTCAGTGATGATTTGATCTCCTTTCCTCGTCTTCTTCTATGCATACTCTTCATGTTAAACATCAAAACAGCACACTTCAAGGAACTTAACCTCCTTAGATATAGTGAGTGCAATGATGTGAACAGCATATCGGTTATATCTAGGTGTGTCAGCTATGTGGAAGGAAGTCATGCAGGTTTTAGATGTTTACCATTTTAGTGAAATACATTGGCCCCGTAGTCCTGCACCATAACTGTGGAATATATATATTTATCATATACTTCAGTGCGGGGGACACCAGAAATGGGCTTCACACATTGTACCCATGTCGGGAAACGAACCCGGGTCTTCGGCGTGACGAGGGAACACTTTAACCACAAGGCTACCCAACCACCCCCTGATGTTGGGGAAAGTTATATTTAATTGCAGTGAACATAACACTTTGACGGAACTATTGTCATACAAGAGTTACCTCCCCTCAAATTGTCTCCCTTTATCATAAGTGTCAAACCCATACACAAACTGTTGATGTCCTTGTTATGTTAGTACCACACCGACAAGGCAAAATAATGACAGATGGCCATTTATGGGGTTAACATCACATTCTCTTAAAAAACTTTTCGTTACAAACTGTAAATTTCTCATTTAATTTTCCAGTAGACAACTACACAAAAAGTATATAATAAATATGATATTCCATGTGTCTTGTGAAATATCATGTTTCTCTCCTTGTGTGACGGGGAAAAGGAGATATATTCGCAAAAATATCTCCGTTCCCCTCGTCACTCGATGATAGAAACATGATATTTCACTTGACACATGAAATACTCAAATAAATAATCAAGTCTTGACCAGACAATCCAGTGTTTGATATTGGGAGCAACGATTCACGCCATCAGAGTACGATGACATGCCATCAACCAAGTCACCTTCATCATGTTCATTGAGAAAGTTCCCAGACCTTTCCATCATCTGCTCTATTGAATATGCAGGGACTAGGATTTCAATTAAAGTGCCCATGGTGGGAAAACTAAAAAAGAACATGTCAGTGAGTGAGTTTGGTTTTATGCCGCTTTTAGCAATATTCCAGCAATAACACGACGGGGTACACCAGAAATGGGCTTCACACATTGTACCCAGGTCTTCGGCATGACGAGCGAACGCTTTAACCCCAAGGCTACCTGACCGCCCCTAGAAAGAACATGTCTCTTGATAAGGGAGGTTTTCATAAAATGCTTTTTTTCTTTGCATCCAAGGGTATTTTAACAGTGTATTCAATGCAATAATGTGAAAAGTGGGGATGGTATCATATATCATGATATTGATGTATATTTTTAATGTGTCAATATATATTTATTAATATTGATACTAAATTAACAATTCACTGCCACAGAAATGTTCACATTATAAACATAGCCATGGTCATGATAGTTTAGATGCACAAAAGGCAGAAAAATTCAATTTCAAACATACAATGGATAAGCCTCGTTCATATTTAGAATATAATTAGTAGCAGGTCTGTAAAGGTAATTTTTATCTATACACATACAGATAACTAATTTAACTATTAATCAATATATTGATACATACCTTGAGCCACGCATGCGCACCGGAAGCATGTGGCCAATGCTGTAGACTTGCCACTCTCTCATTTTCGCACCAGCTGAATATTTCAGTAATTGGGACACTTGTAATATCAGCATTCTGGCTAGATAGATCACTTTGCTTGTTTCTCAGTAGTTTGTTATTTGTTTCCATAAAATTACTTTTCCGAAACTTGTGCTTAAAAGTTCAGCTTATATATGAAACACAAACTGCTATGGGCTTAATTTTGTGTGTGCTGGCAGTGTGATAAAATAATTTTCATAATTTTTCCATCTGTAATGGAGAATTGACACACCCCTACATACGGCTAAATATTGAAATTAACAAACATTATACATGTTGTATACTTTGAAATACAGTCACAAATAGGCTTGATATTAAAGTCGATAAACTACCACTACTGATAATTGCAATCAATGAATTCCCTGAAAGCAACAAGTCAAGTGTGAGTAACAGGTAGCAGTGAACATTTCTATGGAGTTCTGTGACTTTTGAATTTTGATAATTACAGTTGACTTTAAATTGAAATAGGTCAAATGTGGACAGCAGGGATAGAAATAAGCACTAGCCCACTAGCCTGGAACAGCTTTGTTAACGTCCTAAGGGCTGGCAGAATGTCCAACATTATTGGGGTATTGCTATATATTATCACCATTCGGGCATGGAGATTTTCCTTGTTAATTTCTATCCCTGTGGACAGAATAAGTCAGTTCTTGAGCTACAATATTGTAAGATTTCAATTTACAGTTTCAACTTCTTGAGTCTGAAACCATGATGAGACATAGAAGATAGTTTTAATTTACATTGTTTATCTTTATTAGCCTGACTTCTCTCTTTTTGGATAGAAGAAAAAAAGTTACAACAACAAGAATCTAACAAACTTAACCACAGCATTTAAAATGGACGGGAGTCCTTGGGTTATTGTGATTTGTTGCAATAGTATTTGAACCAAGGGCAGCATTAGAAATTGGCACTAGACCTGAAGTCCTTGCCAGACTGGCCAATAGTTAAGGTATCATAAGGACTAGTAGAAATATGCCATTTTTAAGGATTTTACTGTATGTTATCATTATAAGGACTAGTGGTGAACATGGTGAAGGTGAGGTGAAATGGTGTTTAAGTTCAAGATTATTGCATTTATTGCAATCATGCATGTGTGTGTGTGGCTGTTTATACTAGTCCAGATTAATGCTAGTTTATCAATGTTTATTGTGCTAGCCCACTGAAATACCATGCCTCAGTTTAACATGGTTACCCCACTCAGACACAGTATAATGAATACAATTAAGCTGACAAATTCTTGTTTTATCCTATCAATGCCGAGTTCCAGGCAGGGTAACATTAATCCTGGGACACGCTAATCATTACCATGGATCTTAAACTATGATAAAGACCTTAATTTTGAACACTGGTGATGTTGGTTTGTCTTGTTTGGGATACAAATTACAATCACAAGATTGGCTGAAAATGTATAATCATGTATTAGGCATTCCTACTTAATTCCTCTTAATAAGATTGTCAATTTTCAGTGTATGTTTGGACATTTTTTGGGACTTGTATACACTCTCAGACAATATATGACATTTTAGAATGTCACTGTATATATCGTTGTATATAACATTATAATATGACCACCCCCTTCAAAATCTTTGCGAATTTATTTACAGGGTTAGAACTTAACACTAGCCTGCAAGTCCAGGGCTAATACAAATTCCTGTGGGCTAGTACATATATCCCAATTTCCCCATTGTTTAAACATGACAAGGGCATTTTATCTTTACCCAGGCTATTAAAGCTTTGGAGTTTGGTTCAAACCCTGATATACCCTGTCTACACAGCGATCCAGACTGAAAAGCACATGAGATCTGATTTTATGGTTCTTTGTCGCATGAGTAACTCCAGCACTTATTCTCTCTATTTTTGTATCGATGGCCAGCCCTACAGCATGTTAGATAAAGTCATCTTCCCGAGGAAAGGGAGTTAACTGACTATAATAGTCCAGTTGCCACCCTTGCCAAACTAGGAATTTCTGGGTTCAACTGTAGTGCCACCAGTGGCTATTAAGAGTTATGTCCCTTCTGTGTCCACCTATTGACAAGTCAGATTCCACCTCTCATATCATTTGCATTTGCTTCAAACAAAATGGCAGTGCCAACAATTTGATCGATAATCAAGATCTAATTTGTAATAAAATGGGTCTTACTTCACGTAGTGCCTCATATCATGTGAGCACCTTAATTAAAAACATGAAAGGATTTGGAAGATAACCGGTGGCGCTGAGTTGACGGTACATATGCTTTGCAAATCCTATGATCGACTAAAATCTAAATGGCAGTTTACGAACCAGATGTTCTGGTCTAAAATAGGCATCAGTAATAAATAAGGACTATGCTTCTCTGTCTACTCCAATTTCCAATCTAGGTCAAGACATAATTTGTGTAAACAGTAATGTTTGGTCATTATATATAGGGTTTGGGAAAGCAAGCAAAGAAATTAGTATTTCTGGGACTTGAAGCAAACTTAAAAGAATGAGTCTAGTCCCACTTAGAATCTAGATCTAATAAATTTTATCCAAAGATAAAATCAAACAAAAATATTATCATGCTAAGAAAATAGTATTATTAAGTATTAGGCATTCCTACCTAATGTGTAGGACATAAACTAGACCTACGTCCCATTTGCTGACCTTAGTGAATGCATACTCATTGACCGCCCTACTGGTTAGCGCCTGTTTCCAAAGCTTACAGCATGGTTACCGGAATACACTGATCTCGCAGTAGCAATTTTTTGTCACAAGGAATAAACACGGCATGGGTCCACAACATTCCCAAACTGACTTTACGAATAAACAAATCGATCTCCTTACATTCATTATTGCAGTGATCAGACCGAAGATCAAACAATCACATCTTTGACAGGTAGGCTTATTGAAATCCACTACTACTAGCAACTAGGCTAGCATAACCAACGCGATGAAGCTACCGGCTTCTGTGGAGCGAGTAGGGAGAAACGAAAGCTCAGTTTGAGAAATAGTTACAAAAACCTCTTTCACTCACCTAATGTTGAAATGTCACCAGTCAGTATGTAATGTTATCGCATAGTCGAGTGATATCAATAGTTCTTATCACGCTTAGTTTTCGGTCATCTCAAGAGACACTCGGTCAACGCCCTCTGGTGTAAGAAGGGAGGTTACTCGTGATACAGACCCAATTGCTGAAATATTTCAAAAACTATGTGCATTCGATGTATATCGAATGCATGGAATTAAATGTTAGCAACTTTGTGGGGTTTTGCACTATTCGTGAAACACATGTGAAATCATAACGTGTATATAATTAGCTTCTGAAACAGTTTTCAGTTTCTATTGATCGTTATTAAATACTATTCTATTCAATGGAAGGGAGTTGAACTTTGAGGTCGCATCAGCAGAATGTTTACATTACATAAGATATAAATATGTCGACTTACATATATCCCATTGCTCCCCTTTAATTATTAAGCCCCAAAGGATGAAGTCATCACATTTTCCAAATTTTTATTTCGTGTAGATCTATGTAAATATGGTTTAGATTTAAAAAAAGGGTAAAGGTTGATTGTAAGGAGGACTATATGCTCCACGGCCCTATTTTACGAAGCATTTGTAGCACTACGACTGTCGTAAGTCCATGTTAAACTTTAGGAGTTACGACATTCGTAGCGCTACTATAGCTTTGTGAAACAGGACACGGGGTCCTGTCCCAATCCTTGTCCATAGGGCTTTTAACTAACGTACAGAAATACGGGATTGCCTAAAAGTCGGACCGGGCCAAGATGGGCCAAAGTTGTATTGGCTAATTACTCCATTATCGGTGACCATACCTACATATTATTGATGCAACATACACACATGACATAAATTAACAATCACCAACTAAGAATGTGAACCATAATTAAGTGATTCGAAGTAAATCGCTTGAAAACCAGAAAGTAGAGCTGTGTGTAAGCGTCGCTGATCCAGGTAACATGTAAAAGGGCAATCGTTAAACGAAATAGGATTTGAAACGTATGAAATACTTCTAGCTATCGTGATACAAATTTCCATCTGTCGGCATAGCGTTTAAATTTGTAGGACAGTACAATCTATATCTAAGTAAATACCACTTAATAATGTCACTGTTCTTCGTATTCAAAGCAGACACGTTGGTTAAGTAGCCCTCTCTCCCCACACTCTCACAAGTGTTCGGTCCGACTAGGCCCGGGCTGTCAAAATCAACTTTAAACACACAGATGTATCATCAAAATGTGTTTACATCTATATATTCGTATTATATCTACCTATATACCACTTTATAATGTCACAGTACATCGCATTGAAAGAAAACTGATTCGTTAAAGTCAAGCACTTTTACTGTATTTTCTTACGAAAATCTGTCAGAAGTGTTTGATCCGACTTGGCCCGGGCTGTCAAAGTCAACTTTAAACACACAGATGTATCATCAAATGCGTTTATATCTATAGATTAGTATTACATCTACCTATATACTACTTTATAATGTCACAAAACGCGGTATTTAAATAAAACAAGGTGCTCAAAGTGAAGCCCTTTTCCCTATCCATTCTCAACATAGTCTGCATCAAAAGTTTTTGGCTTCTGTTGGGTCCGACTTGGCCCGGGCTGTCAAAATCAACTTTAAACACACAGATGTATCATCAAATGTGTTTACATCTATAGATTAGTATAATATCTACCTTTATGCTACTTTATAATGTCACAGATTGCTGTATTTAAAGAAACTAATGTGCTCAAAATGAAGCCCTTTTCCCTCTACATTCTTCTCTATCAGAAGTGTTTGGCTCAATTCTCATATTGTTTCCATATCATTATAATACACGTGTTTTAAAATAAACTTGTTATAATGTGCCTTCTTTTTATGTTGAATGTACTTGTGTGTTTTGCACTTATTGTGCATATATTTTGTAGTTTGTGATAGTGTTATATTGCCACTGTTTCTTCATGGAATGTTACGCAATACATATCTCATCTTAAACATCTTTGTTGTATGATAGTTTGTTACAGTTGTGTACGGGGGCACGGATGGCCCAGTCGCCTTATGTGCTGCAATTCGCTATGCAAAGTTGTGTCCCTTGGGCACGCCAGAAACCCATGACAGTATGTTCGAATCCCGGTTCGCACCGTTTATGTTGTCAGCACTATACCCGTGCTCGTGGGTTTCACCAAAGCGGCGAACGTCCAAGACCTGCATCACTTCGGGCTTTCCTCCCACATCAAGCTGACACGCCGTGATATAACTGGAATTATACTATTCAAAGCGGCGTTAAACCAATCTCATCACTCACTACTCTTGTGTACGGTTCCGTTTGGTTAGCTGGGTTTGTGTTGTGATTACTTCCGGTTTATATTTAAAGTATGTTTAGAAGAATGTTACTACGTTTAAGCCAAACATCGTGAATATATCATGCAACCGAATTATTTTTCAGGAAAATAATTGCAAACTACAGGCCAACATGTCGATTTCCAATGTATCCAGAAGCAAAGAACTTATTCGGGTGTGTAATCTCTGCAGGGAGTTAAAACAACTGTCAATACAATAAACCATGCAGAACCATAAACCGCCGTATGAAACGGTATGAATCATACTTTACATACAGTGAACTACTTGAAACTGTGCTCAAATCTGCACAGTAAGCACTTTACATGTGATTGTGAAGACAACTAATTACAAATTTCTGATATTGAACCCGTTGTTTTACATGTGTTGTTTATTGAAGCATAGAAACCTTGTATTTAATCGTGTTGAACAATAAGTTGCAATAGCAGTGTGAAGGGAGAAAGATTGAGTGCGCGTTACATGCTTGACCTGAATTCCTCCCTGGAACCATTCTCGCTGGCTGCCCGAATAACATGAGTTACATTGCAAAGGTAGTGCGCAATAGAGCTACTCGGGCAAGGCAGATAATCACCCACTTTCAGTGATACAGCTTAAATAAGATCCGATGTACAGCATTGCAAGGTCACGCGTGATAAAGCTCTATACTACGCATATAGCTAAAGGAGATAATCGCTCAATGCCCAATAGTTTATTCTTACAAAATATAGACTGGTAAACTTTAGCGAAAGGAGATATACACTCATCGAAAAAAGAAACGCACAGGTAGATTCGTAGTAAATGTATTGTACCTAATAAAGTCGATATACTTAATTTAATATCATAGATACAAATACGAAATTTTGGATTCCGATAGTCACATGTTGTCGTTGTACAAAGGCATTGAACTGTCTATTGTCATGTCACATAAGGCCACAAGGGTGCGCTGAACTTAGTATTTCGTTTCACCGCCCTTGGCAGCAATCATGGCTCTGCACGTCACAGAATAAAACATCAAGATGGCAGTTTCCATATAACGATTAAGTATTTCTAAGCAACTTAAAGATACATATATCAAGATATTATACATATCTTTAAGTTGCTTAAAAATACCTAATCGTTACATGGAAACTGCCATCTTGATGTATTATACTGTATTGTATATTGACAGATTGTGATTAATTGTTACCAGATGGCTCTAGCTGGGGTAGCAGACGACACACTTCCCATCAATGGGGAACAGGGTAAAAAAATGTTACAATATGTGCAGGCTGGTCATCATCGAACTCTAGTCTCACCAGCCAAAGATGTATTGAAAAAACACAATTAATTCTCAACCTTATCTAATGTTAATTCAACAATTTATCATATACTTAGCAGTGGGATATTCTGTTAATAAACTGTCATAATTCTATTGAATGGTTCTGTACATTCTATCAATGTTTATTTGTACAAAGCTGTTTTTTGCATGTACAGAAGTGAGACACAAATAAATTATTGTCTGTCTGTCTACAATGTATACCGTACAATTAAACCAATTACACACAGATGCTTCACTTTGGACTCCTTGTTTTCTTTAAATACCGCAATCTGAGACACTATAAAGTGGTATTTAGGTAGATATAATACTAGTCCATAGATGTAAACACAGTTGATGTTACATCTGTGATGTTTAAGTTGATTTTGACAGCCCAGGCCAAGTCGGGACGAACACTTCTTACAGAGACTATGTTGAGAATGTAGAAGGGAAAGGGCTTCACTTTGAGCACCTTGTTTTCTTTAAATACCGCGATCTGAGACACTATAAAGAGGTATATGTAGGTAGGTAAGTATATAGGTTGATTTTGACAGCCCGGGCCAAGTCGGACCCAACACTTCTGACAGATTTTCGTAAGAAAATACAGTAAAAGTGCTTGACTTAAACGGACCAGTTTTCTTTAAATGCGATGTACTGTGACATTATAAAGTGGTATATAGGTAGATATAATGCTAATCTATAGAGGTAAACACATTTGATGATACATCTGTGTGTTTAAAGTTGATTTTGACAGCCCGGGCCAAGTCGGACCCAACAGAAGCCAAACACTTTTGATGCAGACTATTTTGAGGATGTTGTGAATGTGGAATGAAAAGGGCTTCATTTTGAGCACCTTGTTTTCTTTGGATATATGAGACACTATGAAGTGGTATATGGGTAGAAATAATACTAATCTATGGATCTGAATCTATGGCATGATACATATATGAGGTTTAAGTTGATTTTGACAGCCCCGGCTGAGAAAATACAGTAAAAGTGCTTGACTTTAACGGACCCGTTTCCTTTAAATGCGGTGTTCCGTGATATTATAAAGTGATATGTAGGTAGATGTATTACTAGTCCATATATGTAAACACATTTGATCATACATCTGTGAGTTTAAAGTTGATTTTGACAGCCCGGGCCAAGTCGGACCGAGCACAGACCAATCACTTCTAATAAAGAACGTTGAGAATGTAGAGGGAATAGGGCTTCCCTTTGAGCACCGTGTTTTCTTTAACTACTGCAATATGAGACACTAAAGTGATATATAGGTACTATATAAAATACTAGTCTTTAGGTGTAAAGAATGTTTAGTAACTTTTGAAGTGCTAGGACAGTTATTAACACGTGTCGTGTCAGCCCTATGACATTCGAAGAATATCCAGTTCCAGAAAACATCCTGTGTTGGTTTAACATGAATTAGTAAAGGTTAATTAGGGATGCCCAACACGTTAATTAATGAAAGAAGAGTAGTCAAAACACTGTCATTTCCTGCCCAGGACATCACACCCCTACACGCTACAGTCGGTGAGAAACCTTCTCATCAAAGAAAACACACAGTCAAGACACTAACTTTTCTACGAGGACTCACGGTATGTAGTCATAATTATCAATTTATTACATTGTTGAAGATGCATTTTGATTTAAACTCAATTAAATGAGAAAAAACTATACGTTTGTGGACATTTGAGATCTGCCGAGATATGTATGTTTCACTTTATCATTCTGCAATCCATGTTTAGTATTACCCGCTGGCCCGGCCCGGTACGACTTTTCTTGGCCCGACTTTGAGGCAATCCCCAACTCCCATACCTTACATTTAGGCTTCAAAACGACAGCTGTAGCGCTGACATGGCTTTCCGAAATAGGTGCCTAGAACCCATTTTCAGGATACCTTGAATCGAACTTGATAGGACTGTTAATTTGCACCTGCCTATCCTCTTATCCAAAATATACTACTCAACATTTGATAAGGATGTTCGGAGCGTCCAGGCAGGGGGTAAATATGACAGGTTGTTTGGAGATGTTGTACGAATAGGATTTGTTTGTTTGTTGTTTAACGCATGGGTTGCTGAAGACCTATTCCGTTAAGCTTCATTTCACGATAAACAAAAGTAAACATTTATATACGTAATTGTTTCCTGACGTTCGTAAGAATGTGAGCTAGCACAGTATCAGAAAGTAAGAAAACGTACAACGTTATGGATAACAACTTCTGGTTTATTGCATGCATATAGCGACGTTTCAATGTAGATTCTCACACCGTTATCAAGCTGGAGTGACAACAACCAAGTGATGAGAGGTATATTTGCGTGACATATTGTGATAAGAAGCAGATTGACATTGACAACGACTGGGATCAGATAACAAGTATCACACAGATACACAGTATTTGGATGAAGCGAAATGTATACAGTAAGTATAACATAGAGCACACAGGTAATGAAGCACACGGCTCATGAAGCCAGGTGTACAGTAATGATAAGGACTAAAAGGATTAATCAGTTGTGACAAGCTGATTGGGATCTAGTTAAAATTGTTTATTGCTTGATTAGGTCTTCATTGGCAGACCAGATGACAGACAAGTTAAACACATAGGTAAAACATTTCGAAGCCCAATAAAAGATTAACATCAAGCCATATCTTGGCTTACGAGACACAACTAATTGATTACTTTGTGTACGGTAAAATACTATTTACAATGATATAATCTTTATTAAATTATGTAGATCAATAAACAATACATATCATATGAATAATAGCGTCGTCTAAAAAAATATTTTTCATAGTAGAAGCAATACATTTGACGCGCTGCAGATTATTTTCTGATAACAATTTTAATGAACCGATCTTTAGGTTCTGTAGAATGGTAACAAGATAAATTAATGTTGTATTTTAGGTTCTTAGAAAAAATACACTCTGAAAGGAAATGAACTTCTGTTTCTACTTTGTTACCAAAAATAACAAGTTCTGTGCTGTAAAGGGGTGAGGGAGGTTTATTGTGTCGACCTGTCTCCACATGAAGGGAGAGACTTCCACGACGTAGTCTGGGGAGATACTAGTATATTCTCAGATCCCTGTATATAATGGTTTGCAAGTAAAGTTCCGGGACAAGATCTTTTTTAAAAAGACGATAGTTGCGCAACTTATTTCCACGCTGAGGATTCGATGTACGGTTCCAGAGTCGTTCAAACTAAGTATATTCGTCTTTTGTAATACCCTCGATCTTTGTTGATCTAAGGTTTGTGACGGCGGCTTCTGAGAGTTTTCTTTTGGTGAAATTCTGATGTTTGGTTGAGAGGATTTGGACTTTGTCAAACTGAAATTGATGGCTAGGGAATCTTTGCTGGTGGTGTGAGAGGGCTGATTTGCTGTCTGCTTTGGCTGTCAAAGGCTTATCGCAACATGTCATGCATATCGCGTACACGCCTCGTCACTTGGTTGTAGTCAGTCACTCCAGCTTGATAACGGTGTAAGAAGAAGCTACGTCGAAACGTCGCTGTATAATTTGCAATAAACCAGAAGTTGTTATCCATAACGTTGTACGTTTTCGTTCTTACTCACCAACTTCTAGAATGCCAATCAAACAGACTGTATCAGGAGTTGATTGAAATTTAGGACTTCTATTGGGGTCGTTTGGGGAGAGAGAATAAAGCCTGTATGCAACAAAGATTAACTTTTTCCCATTCAGCAGACTCTCAACACAAACACCTTCTGTTTTAACTACAGATATAATTTATAGTTGTGAGAACAATTGTACAAAACCATGAAATGGTGCCTGTCATCCATCTGTCCCACGGGTTCCGGGTGAGAGTTGGCCCCCTGCAACCTATTCTGTATTCTGCATGCAACTGCTGTTGTGGTATGATTACTTTATACCCGTGGTGGTTCAGGATTAGAACACTGGTCCCCAGCAACCCATCTTTATCGTAAGAGACTAAATGGATCGGGCGGTCAGACTTTGTTGATTGCATGTCATCGTATTCCAATTGCGTGGGCCGCTGTTCATGATGTCAATCCCTGGACTGTCTAGTACAGACTTGATATAGCTGGAATATTGCCGATTGCCGCTAAACAACAAACAAACTTTGTATTGGCAAACATATGTTCTTTATGATAGCTGTGTTTGACCCGACAAGCACTGATTGTTTTCGATCAACAGATAATTATTATTTTTCCATTGACAACTCCCAATCAAGGGCCAGTGTCAAATAATTGTAATGATACTATTGTCCTTATATAACAGCCTTGTGAGTAAAGGGTTTCGATGTTCCACGTTATGACAATGTGTGAAACCCACCCATGAATTGGCTGGACTGTTTCTAGAAACTCACTCTCTCACCGTGATCGTAGTGATCGTCCAGAGGAAGTGTTTACAGTAAAGATATGACTAACTGTGAATTAACATGTGTTGCTAATAGAATGATGGTCTTTTAGACTTAACTGACACAACATGTACTTCACTGCCATGACAAAAGTAAATAATTATTGATCTATTGGTGTTTCCTTTTGATGAGTGTTTAATATTTCCACTTTCAGCCCTAACATGTATGTATACCCATTCTTTATGCGAAATAGATTAAAGAGCACCATGCTATAATATCAACAAAATTTAAGTCATTTTTTTATTCAGGGAGTATGAAACTTTAGGGTTTATGTTGCTTACAAGACTCAAGTGAGGTATCGTGTTTGCATATACGAAGTCTATGTGACGTGTAACAACGTACATGGGAAGATAACGTAGCCTATATGAATAAGCACCTATAATCATGGCAGTTTCACGGGAAGAGTTTTTAAGAAATACACATTTTGGAGGTGTTAAGAAAATAGTCATTTCAATGTTGAAAGTATAGAAAATTACTTTGAGATTTCCATATAAATACATTGCTGCAGGGTATTTGTCATTTCGCGACTCACTTAAAGCACTTATGTAATATGTGTGGTGTGTGTATATATGCATATATCCTGTGTTATCGATACTGTTGCTGTTTCCTGTACATGTAGATCGTGCGCTGCTTCAAGAATCTGGCCAACTGCTTGTTCCCATGCAGACTGAGGAGAGTCGCACCCCTTCAGCCCGCTTCTGAGTCTGAATACGTAAACGAGGAAGAGAAGGAGAGTAAGTCAGATGACTCACCTGTCGTCCATTAACACCTGTCTTCCCTGCCTCCTACACCTGTCTACAATGCCTACCCTGTCCCCTACACCTGTCCACCTTGCCCCTTACACCTGTCAACCCTGCATCCTACACCTGTCAACCCTGCCCCTACACCTGTCCACTTTGTCTCCTACACCTGTCTACCATGCCTCCTACACCTGTCTGCCCTGACCACTACACCTGTCCACCTTGCCCCTTACACCTGTCAACCCTGCATCCTACACCTGTCGACCATGTCTCCTACACCTGTCTACCCTGCCCCATACACCTGTCCACTTTGTCTCCTACACATGTGTACCCTGCCCCCAACACCTGTCCACCTTGCCCCTTACACCTGTCCATCCTGCCTCCTAACCTGTCTACCTGCCCCTCCACCTGTCCAGCCTGTCAACCCTGTCCCTACACCTGTCCACTTTGTCTCCTACACCTGTCTACCATGCCTCCTACACCTGTCTACCCTGACCCCTACACCTGTCCACCTTGCCCCTTACACCTGTCAACCCTGCATCCTACACCTGTCGACCATGTCTCCTACACCTGTCTACCCATCATCCTACGCCTGTCCACCCTGCACCCTACACCTGTCGACCATGTCTCCTACACCTATCCACCTTGCCCCTTACACCTGTCCAGCTTTTCCTACACCTGTCGACCATGCCCCCTGCACCTGTCCAGCTTTTCTCCCACACCAGTACACCCTGCCCCCTACACCTTCCCAGCTTTTCTCCTACGCCTGTCCACCCTGCCTTCTACACTTGCCCAGCTTCTTCCTACACCTGTCCACCATGTCTCATACACTTGTTCACCCTGCCCCCTACACCTGTCCAGCTTTTCTCCTACACCAGTCGACCATACTCCCTGCACCTGTCCAGCTTTTCTCCTACACTGTCCACCCTGCCTTCTACACTTGCCCAGCTTTTCTCCTACGCCTGCCCACCATGTCTCATACACTTGTTCACCCTGCCCCCTACACCTGTCCAACCTTTTCTCCTACACCAGTCGACCATACTCCCTGCACCTGTCCAGCTTTTCTCCTACACCTGTACACCCTTCCCCCTACACCTGTCCAGCTTTTCTCCTACACCTGTCCACCCTGCCCCACACACACCTGTCCAGCTTTTCTCCTACACCTGTCCACCCTGCCTCCTACACCTTCCCAGCTTTTCTCCTACACCTGTCCACCATGCCCCGTACACCTGTCCACCCTGTTTCCTATACCTGTCCACCCTGCCTCCTACACCTGTCCACCCTGCCCCTTCACCTTTCAAGCTTTTCTCCTTCACCTGTCGACCATGCCTCCTACATCTGTCCACCCTGCCTCCTACACCTGTCTACCCTGCCCCCTACACCTGTCCACCCTGCCCCCCACACCTGTCAACCCTGCCTCCTAAACCTGTCCACTCTGCCTCCTATACCTGTCCACCATGCCCCCTACACCTGTCCACCCTGCCCCCTACACCTGTCCACCATGCCTCCTACATCTGTCCACCATGTCTCCTACACTTGTTCACCCCTCCTCCTACACCTGTCCACTTGGTCTCCTACGCCTGTCCACCTCTCTCCTACACCTGTCTTTTCACACCTTGGCCCCGTTCAACAAAGCGATCTTAGCGCTAAGTCGATCGTTAATCCAATTCTTTAACACTGACTTACGACAGTCGTAGCACTAAGATCGCTTTGTGGAACGGGACCCAGGTCTGTTCACCCTACACCTGTGTTAGTAGCCCACATCCACAAAGCCACTCTGTGTTGACTCTACTTTACCTATTAGTGCGATAATGTTCTTTTAGCCATCAATTGATGAAGCAGATGGACTCATACGGGGCTACAAGTAATCCTACCCGAGCTGGATCAGAACCCCATATGAACCTCCTCCTTGTGTCCAGGCTTCGTTTGTAGCTGTTCCTTGTATGTCTGTATTTCAGCTGTTGAGTCTGCTGTCGCCCTCGCTATCAAGGCCTCCCTCACCTCGGAGCTGGACGACACGCTCTAAACATCCAGGCAATGACAATACACAGTCTAAACACCCAGGTAATGACAATACACTGTCACTGTCACTGAACACTGAGGAAACGAAAGTGTTAGTTTTCAAAAAGGGAAATAAACTATCAAGTAGGGAAAAATGGTTCTTCAACTCACAACCGTTACAAATTGTCACTTCTTATAAACATCTGGGGGTAACCTTCACAGGCAGATTATCGTGGAATTACCACACCGGTAATGCAGCAAGTCGTTATTAAATGATTGCGGCTATGGGTATGTTTGGCATAATGAATGTGTACCAAACAATCCAGATTCATTTTTAGTATCTTTACGCCAAAGACTTAAGGATATATACTTACAAAAATGGGCATCGCATGTTTTAAGTTCAGAAAAAATGCAATTATTACAAGCTTTTCAAGACAACAATTTCCCCAGAGTACTATTTGTTTGACATCAACTTTAAAAGGTTTAGAATAAATTTAGCACAATTTAGATGCAGCTCTCATAGACTTAGGATCGAAGTCGGCAGGCATAGAAACATAGCCAGAGAATTGAGAATATGTGAGCAATGTGATTTAAATGTGATTGAAGATGAGTTTCATTTTCTGTTAGTTTGTCCAAAATACGACCACCTTAGAAGAAAATATATTGATCCGCCTTGTTATGTACATCCCCCTCTACAAAAATTTACAACGATCATGTCAACAACTGATAACGATACTCTAAAAAATCAGTCAATGTTCATTTATCATGCTATGTTAATTAGAATATGACCTGTTAAAGGGATCTGTAACCACTCCCGAAAACAGAATTGTACTATGGGCCTGAGGCCTTTCAATATGGAATAAAACTTATCCTATCCTATCCTAATGACAACACACAATCGAAACATTCAGGCAATGTCAACACTCTAAGCAACTAGGTAATGACAATATGCAGTCTAAACATCCAGATAATGACAATACAAACTCTAAACATCCAGGTAATGACAATACACACTCTAAACATCCAGGCAATGACAATACACACTCTAAACCTCCAGATAATGACAATACACAATCGAAACATTCAGGCAATGTCAACACTCTAAGCAACAAGGTAATGACAATATGCAGTCTAAACATCCAGATAATGACAATACAAACTCTAAACATCCAGGTAATGACAATACACACTCTAAACATCGAGGCAATGACAATACACAGTCCAAACATCCAGGTAATGACAATACACAGTCTAAACCTCCAGGTAATGACAATACACACTCTAAACCTCCAGGTAATGACAATACACACTCTAAACCTCCAGGCAATGACAATACACAGTCTAAACCTCCAGGTAATGACAATACACACTCTAAACATCCAGGCAATGACAATACACACTCTAAACCTCCAGATAATGACAATACACAGTCTAAACCTCCAGGTAATGACAATACACAGTCTAAACCTCCAGATAATGACAATACACAGTCTTAACATCCAGATAATGACAATACACAGTCTAAACCTCCAGGTAATGACAATACACAGTCTAAACATCCAGGCAATGACAATACACAGTCTAAACATCCAGGCAATGACAATACACAGTCTAAACATCCAGGTAATGACAATACACAGTCTAAACATCCAGGCAATGACAATACACAGTCTAAACATCCAGGTAATGACAATAAACATACAAGCAATATATATCTTCTATCTTGATGTTGTATTACTGTTTCAATATTCTTGTGCAGTGTAGCAGTGGATGCAAAACATGCAAAGAGGAGGATACACTCCAAAACTTGGTTGAAATGTTCGTGATATTCTTTCCTTCCAGTTGTTAACTTAATCAAGAGAGTTTCTACCTGTTTCTGTGCCTGAAGTGTCATGACCTGTTCCATCGGGATGGATCTTGGATCCAAGCAGCCTAATTTGGGATCGATGTAGCCATTTGCTTCTTGAAGGACTGCATGATTTGTGTTTGAAGTAGCAACTGAGAGGAGGAATGAAAGGCATTCAAGCTTGAGTGCTGTCTCGCAAATTGTCAAAGAAAGTTGCTGTTCATGTTTTGAAGGAATCTTATTGCGTCTTATGTTTGAAATATGGACAATATCGAATGCTGATGTTTTTATGAATTTATCTCAATTTAATCACGAGGTGTTTTGGACATATCTTTGAATTTTGTGTCTGTGGTCTTTTGATAAACAAGTTCTTGTACGTAAGCAATTAAAAATGTATAATACCTTTATGCCAAAAACAATGTTATATGTTGTTGAAAACCAAGGAAAAATTCATTCTTTTACTTGCTATTTGTAGTTTCCAATTGTATTTGTTTGGAAATGCAATATATTAACCCATAAATGTTAATGGTTTTGTTTGTTCACAAAACGTTGTTTATAATCTTGCATAAAAAGCAGAACATTTTGTTTATAATTCCACCAAAAATAAAAGAAAACATAAATGCCCAAAACAATCATATATGTTGTATAATAGTGAAAATATTCCTTGCTGATTACAATTGTGTTAGTGTCTGTTAGTCAGTGTTGTGAGAGTTGATTTGTGTGCACAATGCCAGTATGTGAATGTCTGATTGTCAATGTTGGAAGAGCTGATGTCTTTTAAGCTTTCTGAGAAAGTAAAGAGTGTTTTGAAAGCTGTTGTGTGTGTACAATGCCAGTATGTAAACGTGTAATAGTTAATGTTTTGAAAGATGTTGTGCGTGTACTTATTGCAGGTATGTTAATGTGTGACAGTCAATGTTATGAGAGTGTTTTCGCGTGTACTTGTTGCAGGTATGTTAATGTGTGACAGTCAATGTTTTGAGAGTGTTTTCGCGTGTGCTTTTTGCAGCTATGTAAATTTGTGACAGTCAATGTTTTGAGAGTGTTTTCGCGTGTGCTTTTGGCAGGTATGTAAATGTGTGACAGTCAATGTTTTGAGAGTGTTTTCGCGTGTGCTTTTTGCAGGTATGTAAATGTGTGACAGTCAATGTTATGAGAGTTGTTTTGTGTGTACAATGCAAGTATGCAAATGTGCATGGTCAATGTTTTGAATGCTATTTGGATTTTCTGAGGTTTCCCTAATAAACTGTTGTATATAATCAATTAAACATACATATTTAAATACACAAAAGAACTTTATAATTTGTTTAAAATCAAGGAAACATTTTTAACTTTTTATGTTCAAAAAGCGAAAAACGAATCGTAAACATGTTAATTCTAAATTTTTGAATTTCCTTGTAACCTTTCCATGTATGTATATGCTTAATATAATAATTGGGTTTGGATAACATACACTTTCACCTATTCTTGTATTTTAAGCCATGCCAGGTCTCTAAATGTGCAGTGTTCCTGGAAGTATGGGAAGTCGTTGTGTTGGCATGAAGGTATCCTGAATAGGATACTCATATAGACATACATATCTAAATGTCTCAAATAACTATATAAATTGTTTAAAATCAAGTAAATATTTCTGACTTTTAAATTTTCATGAAAGGTAAAAAAAAATTGTGCGTGTTTCATTGTTATTAATTTGTGTATATATGCTGAATATATTATTATTTTCGATCGCTTATAGTATTGTTGAAACTGAATTGTTTTCAATTTAGTGTATATTGTCAGAATTTAAGGAGTTTTGCTGAGAAAATGTACAGCAGTATATAACACTGTTTGTTAACTTTCTACACTGGTCACCAGCTGTTCCACATATATTCAAGGGACATCCTAATTCATAAACGGGAGCATGTATACGATACACACCGAGATATGCACTTGCATGATATGTACGTTAGAGATCCGTTAGATGTGCGTGCGTTTTCCCCTGTGCAAGTTAGCGAATGTGAAAATAAGATTTTATTGTTTGTCATCAAATGGAAGTGTAAGAGTGTATATGTCAGAGTATTTATTTAAATGCCCAAAATAACTATATCATTTGTTTAAAACTAAGGAAACATTTTTCATTTTGTTTGTAAGGGAAATAGGAATCCCAAACACGAGCTTTTATGTTGTCATTTGATGTATGTTTTGCTTAATATATACTCTCCACCGAAAGAAACGCTAACCACAGAAACAAATAGAGAAATATGTACCTTAAGAAGAGATGTGCATCACGTACAAAATTAACAATAAGTCAAGTGTTGCTACAGCTTGTCTTTATTCTTATCGCGATATGCTGCACATGATTTCCAAACTTCACACGCTAATCCTGCACGAGACAAATGGTGCATCTTGAGTCATAGATCTATGACGTCACATGTGATGTGTTCATGAGCGTAGGTTCATGCAACATAACAGTATGTTCGTTCGTGCATCGGTAACCTACATGTGTGGTGTGCGCGTTTCCTTTGGTGCTGAGCATACTGATGATTGCAGATAAATTGATGTTTGATCTTTACTTTGCCATATCCTTGGCGTGAGAGG